ATCGAGTAAACGTTTGCTGCGTTGGAGAAGGGAGGCTGATGCAACTTTCCCCTCTGGTAGCTCTCTCTCAAGATGATTTTTCTGGGCGGAACGATAGTCATGCTCCATCCGAGGGGGAAAATAAAGTAGGTGTTTAAATGAATAAATGACATGACTATTGGTGGGGTTTAGAAAACAGAAAAATAACAAATACTTTAAGTGATAATTACTCCATTTTTAGAAAGTAGCAACAAATGTAGGTAATTTTAGAACCCAACACATACGGAGATAACTATGTGTCGGGAACACTTAGGATGCTTCCATTTCGGTGCAAACGTTGAAAAAAGACGGGAGTGGAGGCCGAGCTTTCGACTCAGCAGGCTTGAATAAAGAGGTGACCTCTTTAAGATAAAAACAAACTCTTTTGTTACAGTAGCTTTCAAATCGCTAATCCAAAATTTTAAAGACCTGTCAAGAGTCTTTGCTCATCTTCACTATTTCTGAAATCTTTTCTTTGAATTTCCAGAGAAATTCCAGAGAAATGCCCTCCCCCCTCCCACCAATCTTGCCTTGTGTTTTTCCTGTGTATGAGCCTCAAATTCAAATTCAGCAAACATTTATGGAGCATCTATGAGTTTGAATCTTGAATCTATAAATTGCTAGTTGTGAGACTCTGGGCAAGTCCCTTCTCTGGGCCTCAGTTTCCTCTCCTGTAAAATGGGGGGTTTTGACTAGGAAAACTCTGAAGTTCCTTCCAATTCTAAAGTCTGTGATCCCATCAACCCTTAGACAAAGCACTGAGCTGGGTAATAAGAATGGAGAGATGTCAACATAGCTTACAATGAAACCTGCGAGAGGTTGCCTCAGGTAATGGAAAGAATCCTGTCTCTGCCGCTTCCTTATGGGCAAGCCCCAGCAAGGTACTTCCTCTCTGGGTCCAGTTTCCCCACCTCTCTCCCAGGGTGACTGGAGGAAAGCCTGGCATACCTATCAAGCCCCACATGGCTCCCCTGAGAGAATGTAAGCTCCCTGAGGGCAAGCACTACTCAGGTTTGTCTTGATACCTTTAGCTTCTAGCCTGGTGTGCCGCTAGCACCAGAGTGGAACCTTATTAGGTGTGTGTGGACTGACCAATTCCATAAAATGGGAATTGCAAGAGAATTGTGAGAATGGATCAGACTTGTGATCCTTTCCACTCTCCTCTCTTTCTCTCAGTCAAACTATTATGGGACCAGATCCTCCCCTGCTAGATGGAAGAGATTGAATTAGATCCACCAGCTACTTGGGCAGAAGAACACTGAGTTAGATTCTTGAGGAAGCCCAAAGTTTTGTTAAGACATAAGAAGCTTATGGTCTAGACTGATGCCACTACTATGATAATAGGTAAATGTGTTAGGGATTGCTAGGTAAGCAAGGGAGGCTTCCTGCAAGAGGCGGCTTTGATATTGGAGAGGATGCTTTAAAGAACTGGTCAGAAGTGAGCAAGTGATACAAAGGGGGAGGCAAAGGCACTGAGGTGGGAAAGCTCTTGGACCCGCCTCTTGTTTCTTGATTCTCTTCCCTTTTTAGCCCCATGCCTTTTCTTCCTGTCTTGGTCTCTCAGCGCTGGTCAAAAAGAAGAGAAGTTTCTGATGTCTAGGGGGTAAGAGCTGGGCATCCATTTAGCACATGCAGAGATACGTATTGCTCGTTGACTCTCTGTGCCTTCATCCCTGAAATGATCGAACTGATCTCTTCCTAACAATATCCCTGGGTCTCTGTGGGTTTAAAGTTAGATCTTTTCCAGCTTTCTTCACACCACAGTGACCAAGGAGGGAGTCGATCTGTGCTCGCAAGGAAAGAAAGGGCCCGTGAGGCAGGTGGCGTGGGCCCCAGCTCTGCTGCTCACCCTCTGGGCAACCTTGGGGAATCCACTCGCTCTGACTCTGTTTCCCCATCTGTAAAATGAGATGACTGCACTGGCTGATCTTGGAAAGGCCAGTCCTTTAGGTTGGGTACTTATTTGGTGTTCAGAGTCTATCCAGATCACCCCAAGAAAGGCAACCGGAGCCAAAAACCTTAGATGGGGGGCTCTCAGATACGAGGGAAGCCTCATCGTACAGAGACTTGGAGACAGGGAGTTTGCTGATGTCACAGCTGTCCAGGCAGAGGCTGGGATGTTGGAGGACGAGGGCTCTGCCGGACCACAAGGCCCTTCCGCCTCGGAGGAGCGGGAACCACAAGTCTCCTGGGATGCCTTTCACGTCCACACAGCATTCGGTTCCCATAGCAACAGGACCATCCCTCTCTGGGTCACCCTCCGGGCTAAGTCTTCATGGACTCTGTGATCCACAACCAGCCGTGTGGCATCATCCCAGAAGTATTGCTGTGTGAAAAATGGGCCTTTCACCTCCCCCTGTTTCTTTGCAGAGGTGTGTGTCGGGGACTATGGGTGTGGAACACAGCATGTAAAGTCAGACTTGTTTTTGGATATACTGGTTAATTCTGAAGATTGGATCTCTCCCCTCATCACCCTTTCTTATACTTTGGTGTAAGGGGTAGTTCTCTGGGAGGAGGATGAGAGAGGGATCCATTGGGATGTGTAAGTGTGGTAAAAACAAAAAAGGCCAATAACAATTCATTAAAAAAAAAGGAGGGTGTTAATGTTGGGGAGAAGCTTGAGCAGGTGAGGAATGGAGGCCCCCAGCCTGCCTGCCTCCTCCTGGTAAGCCGGGGGCCTGTGTCGGTCTGAGGTCCGGTGCGGTAAGGCCAGCTGGGCTGGCTAGTCCTTCTAACTGGCCGTTGGAGCCTCCCAGGAGGTGTGCTCTTCTCTATGCCTGGCACAGAGTAGGAGCTTCATAAATGCCTATTCATTAGGTCAGACTCTTTTGAACAGTTTCCTTTTTAAACTGGACCTCTAATTTCATTGGTCTAAGGAGGCTCTGGTGAAGAAACTCTCCCTTCTAATAAAGATCAGCCCCTTCCCAGTGTCTGAGATTTCTTGGGGAGTTACCTGGGGCACTGAAGGGTAAGGGGACCTGCCCACTAAACAGCAGAACAGAATTTGAACCCGGGTCTTCCTGACCCTGAGTCTGCTATCTCTCTGCGACCTAAGGGCTGCTGTCTTTCTGAATGGTTTTGGCTCCCCTTGAGGACCTGCCCACTGCCCTGTGCAAGGTGGAGCCTCTGGAGGGCTTCCCTCTCCTTCTATGGGGACCCTGGACCGGCTGTCGTTCTGTGATGGTGGCAGCCACCCTTGGTATGCGGATGTTTCCCCGACACCCAAAGGCAATGAAGGGCAGCATGGTGGGTGTGGCCAGTGAAGACCCAGGCCAGAGGATGTCCTCAAAGAGATGTGTGACCAGAGTCATGGAGTGAGAGTGGGAGAGGCCAGTGGATGGCCAATGGACACTGTCGGTAAGCAGACAATGAGAAGAGGCTCTGGCACATCGGGCGGGCCACCCCTCCAAGGAGGCCTGAGGAGGACGTGGACAAGAGTCTCACAGGATGGTGAGAGTGGACAGGCTGCATGTGACCTGCTTCCCTGGAAGATATCTCAACAATGATGTGATCGTGGATCCAGTGAGATGTCAAGAAAATGCTCTTAGTGGACAGGAGGCTGGGGCTAGACCCAGAGTTCAAATCCAGCCTCAGACAGTTCCTAGCTGTGTGACCCTGAGCAAGTCACTTAAACCTCTGTCCGCCTCAGTTTCCTCATGTGTAAAGTGGGGACAATAAAAGCACCTTCCTCCCAGGCTATTGTGAGGTTTTCAAATTAAATAAGATTTGTAAAGGGCTTTGCAAACCTTAGAGCACAATGTAGATGGGTGCCATTGTTATCATTAATTAGTCACAGAATATGAGAGTAGGAAGGGGCCTCAGTATGCACACAGACCAGGCCTGGCCCAGAAGGAATGCCTGCTCTGTCCAGCATTTGCTGGGGGACCCCCAAGGAGAACGGAGCCCACCCCCTCTGGAGGCTCCTCCTCTGCTCTCCTGATCTCAAGGCTCAATCTTCCTCTTGGCAGCTTCCCCCAATCACTCCTAGCCCTGCCCTCTGGATGAACAGAGCACATCTGATCCCTGGTCTGAGCCACAGCCCTTGGCCATCACCCTAAGCCTGTGTCCCGGGCTTGTAGGGAGGGGAGTACTCGGTTAACCCTGGTACAAGGGAAATGGGGACTCCTCAGGCCAGCCGCTTCTTGTTTGTGAAATGACAGTGATGACATTTAAGGACCAGGGTGGTTTATTCTAGCTGTGTTTCCAGAAGTGTTAAGTGCTGGAAGATTCCTAGACTAGAGAGTGATGACTCCTGTGCTCATCAGATTGTAGATTGAGAGGAGAGGAGCCTGAGACCCTCTGGTCCAACTCCCTTGCTTTACAGGTGAGAAAGCAAATCTCACAGGTAGTAAGTGTCAGAGGTGGGATTTGAACCCAGGTCCTCTGACTCCAGAGCCTGTGCTCGGCACATGGTAAATGCTCCATCCCCTTCCTCACTCCCTTTCCCTTTCCCCTCTTTCCCTATCCCTTCTTCTCTCTCTCTCTCTCTCCCTCCTCTCTCCCTCTCTTCTTTCTTTCTCTCTCCTCCTCTCTTCTCCTTCTCTGTCTCACCTTTTCTCTTCCTCTCTCTTCCCCCTCTCTCTCTCCCTCCTCTCTCCTCTCTCCATGCTGTTTCCCTCCCCCTCCCCACAACACGAACAAAGAAAAACAAGTCCATCCAGCAACACGATGACTCCTGCCTGTGTATGCTGTATTCCACACCCATAGTCCCCAAACTTTCTATTGAAAAGAAGAGAAAGGCGGAGCCTAATTCTTTGAAAGAATCGCCTGTACTCCCCTTCCTCCTCATTCCTTCCTCAGCCCCTTGGGGTCTGGCTTCCATTTCCCGTCACTCAACTGAAGTGGTTTTCTCCAAAGTTGCCATGACCTCATTTGCCAAACCCAGCAGTCTCTTGGTCCTCATCCTTCTGACCTTTTGGTAGGGCTCAGTGCTGCCCCCTGCCGCCGCCGCCTTGACTACCTGGGCACCCCGTGTTTTTCAGGCTCTGGAGTCGCTACAGCATTGGGAAGGACACTGCCTTGGACTACAATGCATTCCTAAAGAACCTGGCCGTGAACATTAACCTGAACCAGAAATACAGCCTGGGCAACAAAGGTGCGTGCTGGGCCTTCAGAGCCCCGGGGGGAGGCCAGGCCCGAGGAAGTGTCACCCTCATCAGACACCAGCAAGGTGGCCGCTCTGGGCAGCGCGTTGTCAGTTTGGGGCTGGTGGGCCGTGGGCTTTCTGTGTCATCGGAAAGGAGCGCCCACCCTAGTGAAAGGGAAGGTCTCCAGGTGGGGCTCTGAGAGAAGTAAGATGTGGTTGTGCCCTCAGGGACCTGGCATTTCATAAGAAAAGGTGTGCCAGGTAGCCAGGTAAAGGTGACACAGATTGGACCATAGAAAGTGTACGAGGGGGGCAGCTCGGTGGCACAGTGGGTAAAGCACCAGCCCTGAAGTCAGGAGGACCTGAGTTCAAATCTGGCCTCACACCAAACACTTGACACTTACTAGCTGTGTGACCCTGGGCAAGTCACTTAACCCCAATTGCCTTAAAAAAAACCACACACAACCCCCCCCCAAAAAAAAACAACAACAAAAAAAGAAAGTGTACGAGGACTAGGTCAGGTGAACTCAGTAAGTACATGTAAGCACCTGGTGTGCCAAGCACTGTGCTGAGTGCTGGGGGTACACAGAAAGGCAAAAGACAGTCCCTGCCCCCAAGGGGCTTAGCGTCTAATGCAAATGTCTATGGACAACATTCACGGAGACCAGGAAGCCACGCGCTGCTCAAGCCATTGACCACTTTGGCCATCGTGAAGTCCTGCGGTGATGGGTGAGTGACAGAGCTGCAGGTGGAGACGCCGGGAGCTGCAGGCCCCCCCCCCCCAGGTGGCTGGCCGCTGGACTGAAGAATGGCCCAGATCAGCCTCAGGAAAGGGCACCGTGGCCCGGCCCAGCATCCTGTCGTCCGTCAGTGAGTGGGCAGGGATGAGCTCTTCAGGTCACTTCACTGCTTTCTGCCTCGGTTTCTTCAGCCATAAAGTGGGGAAATAGCAGCACCTACCTCCTAGGACCACATGTGATGATTGTAAAGGGCTTAGCCCAGTGCATGGCACACAGTAGGTGCTTAATACAAGCTTGTTTGTGGGTTGCCCTCCCTCCTCCCTTTTGTAGCCTGGTCCCAATAATGCTTGAACCCGCTGCCTCATGGGGCTGTTATTAGCACTAGAAGGATTAAGACTATGGATTCTCACACCTGCTCCTGGTTCTGAAGGACGCTGAGATTTACCCAATGGTTTTCTCAGGGCAGGCTGTGAGGTAATGTGTGAAGAGTGATTTATAACTGCAAAGTGCTGTGAAGATGTAAGCTATTATTATAATTAAGCACCAGGGCTCATCACTGTTCTGCCTTTATGAAATATTGCATCATATTTTCACCCTAATGGAATGGGAAGGAACTTGTGATCTCATTGACGATGTCCTCTCTCCACCAATACAGATTGCGACCTCTCTACTGCCTCCTCCTTGTTTCTTCTTGTCCATGGCCTCCCATGGACCCTGCCTAGGGTGTCCACGCAGTGTGCTGAGGCCCTTCCTCCAGTTCCCTTACCCTCTCGGGCTGGGTGTCCATGCCCCATGCGGGCTGTCAGTCTGTCTGTCACTTAATGATAGCCCATTTCCTTCTGGACATGATTTTTTGATGTTTTTTCCCATCTTTTACACGTTCTTGCATATAATTCATTACGAGAAATATGAGCTTGCCACAAAAATACCATTAATGATTGTAGAACTAGTTAAAATCCAGGTACAAAATCCCTCCCAGTTCTGACATTCCCTGTTCCAAGATCCTTCCTAGCTCCGATATCCCCAGTTTTCAGGCTCCTCCCAGCTCTGACATCCGCTGTTCTAAGGGCCTCCCGACTCTGACAGTCCCTGTTCCAAGGCCCTTCATAGCTCTGACACCCACTGTTCTAAGGCCTTTCCCAGCTCTGGTATCCACTGTTCTCAGGCCCCTCCCAGCTCTGACATTCCCTGTTCCAAGGCTTCTCCCAGCTACATGATCCCCTGTTCTAAGATTCCCCTCCCCAGCTCTGACCTTCTTTGTTCCTAGGACATTTCCAACCCAACATTCTATGATTAAGTGAGATTTCTTTGACCATGCCCTCCATAAGTGGGAAAAAACACTCTTACTGAGATAGACTTTAGTGTCAGATGTATGTCCCAGGACATGTTCCTAAATGGAGTCTAAAGGACCTTCCTGTTTAAGGGCATGGGGGTACCCCAGTCAGGAAACCCCAAATCAGGGAGATGCCTGAGACATGACGCCAACTAATGAAGATCAGGACTGGGATACGAAGCCCGCCTCCAAGCCTCAAACCTACAAAGCCCCAGGAACTCAAAGGGGAGGAGAGCCAGGGCCAGGCTGAAAGGCTGTGACGTGCAGGGAGACAAGGGATGGGGCCAGGTTGGGCCCGGGGGTGCATGGCCCGAGTCCTCCGGGGCCCCTCCCACCGCCGCCCTCCTTTGTCTTCACTGGCAGGTGTGTCTCAGCGGCCGCAGGCAGCATCCCCAGGGCAGCGGGTTGGTGACAGCCCTTTGTCACCTTTTGTGATGTCAGATAGTCGGCTGCTTTTTGGTTTCATTTGGATGATTGCGATTTCACTGTCTAGCTCATCATTAGCGGTCAGAGATGTCTTTTTACTCAGTCACCTGGTGATGTCAGTGAGGTCTGAGATCCCCCCAATGCTTTGTGTCCTCCCCACTTTGGGGCATCTTGGCAGTGGACCCCTCGAGGCCCCCAGAATAAGCCTCGGTCTGTACGCCCTGGGGCTAGTCTAGCCACCAGACCTGTGGTCTTCCTAGTCCTGGTAGTTCCTTCCTTCTCCTCTGGGATTGGGGTGGGAGAATTCCTGTCATTAACTGAGTTGTTTGTTAGAGAAAGCCCGACAGATCTTTCCCACTTTTCATATTTGCTCTCTCCACGTTGAATCTGTCAATGCCTCACTACATCACCACTGCCAAAGCCTCACCTGGTTTTCCTGTTTCTGTTTTCTTCTCTCCGATGCATCTCCTGCAAACTTGCCCAAGTCGTCTTCCCAAAACTAGGGTCTGACCGCATCGCTTCCTGCTTCAGAATCTCCAGTGGCCCCTGTAGCCATCCCACAGGATAAAATGGGGCACCCTTAACGTGACATCCGCTCTCCACTGGGCACTCACCGCAGCAAGGCGGGCCATCCATTATGCTCCCACTCCCTTCAGTGGCCATTCTGAATGTCTCCTCCCTCCTCCATCCTTCCCCATAGGAATCAGAGATGATGAAAAGCCCATTTTGCCCCCTACATCCGGTCACTTCATCAAGTGGGTTAAGGCCCCGATCAGTGCCCCTCTGCAGTCCTTAGGCACAGGTCTGACGATGCTACTTCTCAAAAGCCTCTGTGGCTCCCTATTGCCTGCTTTATAAAGGTCCAACTCCTTGTCCTGGTGTTCAGGGCTGTCCACAACTGCACCTTCCTTGTGTGCATTCCTTATTCCCTGACCTCTTTGACTTTGGTTTTGTCGCTCACTAGAATTAGAATCCCCCCCATTCTCCCCTCTGCACCCCCTTGCTCTACCCCATCTCTGCCTATTGAATTCCTTCTCATCCTTTATGGCCTAGATGAGTTCCTCCATGAAATGTCTCCTGCTTTCTTTCCCCAGCCACATCAATAGTAGCCCTACCTCCTCTTGATGGAGCATCGCTGGATCCCAGGGCCCCCAATATCTCTGAGGCTCTAGGCTGGCTTAGGTTCGGTGGAGGGGGGAGGTGTTTTGGATGGGAAGGAACGATGCCCAACCAGACTCATTTGGGGGTGGGGGAAACAGAGTGTTGGCCAGTCATTCCCTATCTCCTCTCTGCTTGGTCTCAGCAGCCAGTGGTGTGAGGACCTGCAGAGACAGCCGCTCACTTCCCTGGCTCCAGCATCACCAGGCTTCTGTGGGCATTCCTGCCATGGAAGTGGCAGTGGCGCAGACTTAGCCCCACAGCTTCTGTTCCTTCTCATTCCAGCTCAAGGCCCTCTTCCTCTTCCAACCCAACCCATCCCTCTTGACACAGTCCCCTGGGCACCAGGCTCCATGGGTCCTGACATCCTGGGTAAGTTTCCTGTCTTGGCCCCTGGGGGCTAATCAGGGTAGATGTGAGTCACCCATGATGAGGAGCCCCAGGTCTGTCGGCCAGTATCCCCACACTTGGTTGTGTGAGTCCCAGGGCAGGGAACCATACGTGCCTCGGTCAGGCCCATGAGCGTTCTGTACGTGGTCAGTGGTCTAAGCTACCGGCAGGGCCGGCTAAGTCTTTGTTTCATGTCTCAAAGACTTGTTCACCTGATAACGCACTCAGCTGAACAAAGGTCCTCAGATGCCGCCTCTGTAATATGAGGGGTTGGGTGAGGTGACCTCAGAGGTGCTTTCCAGCTTTGGCTCTGGGCCCCCATGACCTCTGGGGCTCCTTCTCTCATGACCAGGCCATCTTCTGGTTCTGACTCTGCACCCTGAAGGCTAGTGCTCCTTTGGAGACCTCCCATGCCCTGTCTCAAGTGTGTGTCTTGGGCACCTGTGGGGGTGGGGCAGGGGAGCACCCCTCCCGGGCCTCCCCTCGAGGATGGTGAGAGTGGAACGACAGCCTCTGACAGTTATTCTAAGTGGCTTATTTGGGCTGGAGCCTGGCAGAAGTGTGATTTACCCGGAGCCATTTTGGGAAGTCAATCTGTAAAGCCATGTGGGATTCTTCACAGGCCTCCTCATGTTTCAGGCTTGTTGAACACCCAGAAACAGTCTTATCTGAGAAGACTCGAGTCAATCACTCGGTATTTTTACTCGGGTGTTGTGGGAGGGGGAGGGCTGCCTTTGGAGTCAGGAAGGCAGGTTTTCCAGGCCTTCCTCCATCCCCTCCTGGAAGGTGCCCCCGGCATCTCTGAGGCCAGACCCCACTGGTGGGTGGAGTCCCCACAGGAGGATTCGCCAAACCGATGAAACCCTGAATCTGGACCAGAAGCTGGCCAGCAAAGGAGAGCGAGCATGCTGGTAGCCAGCAGTGGTGGGTAACTCGCAGGTGCCATTTCCCCTTCTTCCCCTCCCTCCTTAACAGAGTGTACGTGGAGGGTGAAACCAGAAAATAAATATGTATTCTCCTTCTCGTCAACATCTGGAGATGGTTGGGAAAACTCTTCTATGGACGACATTGAGGCAGCGTTCTTCAAAGAGGTGAGTGGCTCCTTGGGACGCCTCCATTGCTTCCGTAGCTTCAGCAGTGTGGGGTTGCGCTCCAGCGGGGAGTGTCCCAGCCCTCCCAAGAACTCACCTCCCAGGGTGTGGTGAGGATGGAAGGAGGAATTCTTTGTCAAAAGAGCTTGTGCGAGCGGTTCCTCACACACTAGGAGCTCAACAAATTCTTATCCCCTTCCCCTTTCCCCGTGATGTCATGGTCAGTCTTGTAGTACTGAGCCAGGCTGATGGCTCTGACGTCCATGGAGGTGCCATGCTGGGATCTGCTGGCTTAGCCTTGAGAGCCCTCCAGCAGGGGAGCTTGCTCCTCTCCCCGGGAGGGACGGAAGGCATCACCCCTGCTTCCCGCCTTGTAACGCATTCAAGTTCCTCCAAACAAATGTGGCCCAAATAATTTTATGGGTGAGTACGTCCCCCCCTTGCCCAAAGAACATGGCTTCCATTTGCTCCCTGTGTGACCTTGGGCAAGCCACTTAACCTCTGACTTTCAATTTCTTCACAAAACAAAATGAGTGGGCCAGATGGCCTCTGAGCTCTATAATATTTTTTTTCTTTTTTGGCTAGGCAATGGGGTTAAGTGACTTGCCCAGGGTCACACAGTTAGTAAGTGTTACGTGTCTGAGGCTGCATTTGAACTCAGGTCCTCCTGACTCCAGAACTGGTGCTCTATCCACTGTGCCACCTAGCTGCCCCAGAAGTCTATAATTTTTAAGGTCTATAATTCCATGGTAGTGTGGACTGAGCAACTGAGTCTCCCTAATCCACTGGGGACACTTCCCAGGGACCCAGGCATGTGCTCTGGCTCTGTCCTGAGGTGTCCTGGTTTGTCCCTGAGACTGTGGGACTATGGCCGAGCCCCTCCAAGCCAGAATTCACCCTCCATATAATGATATTTCAGGAATGTGGACACTCAACTGATCTGACCAACCCCCCTGCAATGCTCTCCCCTCAGTGAAATATTTTCTACTCCGGCAAAGTGTGTGTATCTCAGAATGGCCAGAGTGCATGCCCAGCCTCGACATGGACAAAGGCCTGTGCTTTATAATGTTGTCAAATGGACTCCTCAATCAACCCCTCCTCCCATCTACATTTCATAGCCCTGAGTCATTACAAGCCATAATAAGGCCACTGAGACAGATTTTAATAGAAATTACAATGTTAGCAATTTAGAGTTACTATTGGTAGGTCAAGAAGCAGGCCTTCAGAAGAGTCTTTTAAAATCGTTAGCTCAAGACATCCTCTTTGTCTTTAAATGTTGAATTGGCTCCTTCCACCTTTATTAATAGCTTAGCCTCTCAGCCCAGGTAATTTCATCTCTCTCTTCCTCTTGCCTTCGTCCTCCCTCCCCCTAGGTCAGACCTCTGGTCCTGGGCCAGCATTGGCAACTTTGAATCTCTTCACCAACATCTCTAAAATAGTAAGACAGAACAAAAGTAGGAGAAGTGTGTGTGTGTGTGTGTGTGTGTGTGTGTGTGTGTGTGTGTGTGTGTGTGTGTGTGTGTGTATGAAAGAACAGGGCATATACAGAATTGTTACTCAACCTTCTGCCTGGTTTTCACTGGGCTTTGGCAGAGGGCATGAGTGTTAGGTTTGTTAAGGCTCCTTGAGGGTGAGGCCAGGGCTCCTTAACAGCATCTCCTATAGCCAGGGCACTTAATGGCTTTTAAAGTGCCTTTTTTCACCACAACCTATGGGGCCAGATGGATGTCTGTCTCCTATTTGGCAGAGGAAGAAACAGTCTCAGAGATGAGACAGCTTGCCTACGATCACGTGGCTAGGAATTAGTGGAGCTGCCACCATCGCCCACAATTCCTGATAAGTTCAGAGATCTTTCCCCTTCACCTCTTCACAGATATCAAAGGACCAGAATAGTGGGCGGGGAGAAAAGACTTCATTGACAAGTTTTCATCGGTCAGTTCTTAAAAGGGACCCTCCTTCTGTAAGATTACACAGACAGTTGTATTTTCAGAAGGTCCTTTTCTAGTTCCAAAAGAACTGGACCTTGACCCCTTACAAAAGAGATCAAGAAAAAACTGTTCTGGAGGCTAGATGTCTTGCACCGCTGGCAACGGGATTCAGAATCTCCACCCAGGGTCTACGCTATCTGGAGATCTCTGAGCCCAGCCACAGTTTGGGTTCATCTTGCACAGCTGTGAAGGAAGGTCATTCATGTTCATGTCTACATTGTAACCTGTTACTGCTTGGCATTGGGCAAGCATAGGTCTACTCAACACCAGTGCTGATGAGTCCGGAGCCTGGGAAAGCTGTTTGTAACCTTTGTCTCAACAGACGTGCTCCATTGGCTTTCTATCAAGCTCTCAGCCTCCTGATTGGCTGTTTATAGTCTCATGGCATCGCATCCATTAGCCTCTTATTCATTATCCATGCTGTTTGACCCACATGGCACCTTTTTACATGAAGGAAGTTGTCACTCTCTGCAAAGAGCATCTGTCTGGCCTCCTCCTTTGCCTCTCACACATGTCACAGACATTCGAACATGCGCCAGCCCCTCCCCTGACCTCTGCCTCCCCCCACCCACTTCCTTCAACAGGTTATAAACTCCTTGAGGGCAGGTGTTAGTTACGTTGAATGGAATCATAAGAAGATTGGTTCCCAGGTTCCCCGAAAGCATCCTCAGAGTCCACGCCCTTGGCTTTCTTCTGCTCCATAAAATCCCTCTTCTGGTGCCTTGCAGTGTCATAGAGGTGACCCTGGGCTCCTGCCAAGGGAACACCAGCCCTGGCAAGTCTCTCTGAATGGATGAGCTCACTCATCATCATCATCCTCCCCATGGCAGCCAGCCTTTGGAGAGGGAGGGAGGTTCTCTAAATTATCTCTCTGGGTCCTTACAACAGCACATCTGGGCAGGTGCTGTGAGCATCTCCACTTTGGCTCAGAGAGGTTAAGTAGCTGGCTGAGGGTCACACAGCTAGAAAGTACACAAGGCAGGATTTGAACCTGTTTTCTTGACTCCAAGTCCTGGGTTCTATCTCCTGAGCCCCTTAGCTGCCTTCTAGCGTGGGCCCAAGGCATCCTACTCTCCCAAAGCTGGCAAAGGAAGCGGTTTACCAGGGGAACACTGATCACCAGGTGACGGTATCTCTCTGTCTCTGTCTCTCTCTCCCTGTGCTCTCTCTTCCTGTCTCTGTCTCTGTTTTTCTCTTCCTATCTCTGTCTCTCTCTTCCTATCTCTGCTCTCTCTCTCTTCCTATCCCTGTCTCTGTCTCTCTTGCTCTCTCCCTCTTTGTCTCTGTCTCTCTCTGTATCTCTGTCTCTTTCTGTCTGTCTGTCTCTCCTTCCACTCTGTCTCTCTGCCTCTGTCTCCTCTGTCTCCTCTGTCTTGTCTCTGTCTGTCTTGCTCTCTCCCTCTTTGTCTCTGTCTCTCTTTCTCTGTCTGTCTCTCTCCCTCCCCTCTCTCTTCTTGTCTCTGTATCTGTATCTCTCTCTGCCATGGTGGCCTATGTATACCCACCCATGCATTAAGAATGAGCCTGCTTCTTATTCCTTTGGTCACCAGGAAATCTTGCCTGGCTGACCAAGAAGGACTTTACTCTTTTTTTTTCTTTTTTTTGTGAGGTGATCGGGGTTAAGTGACTTGCCCAGGGTCACACAGCTAGTAAGTGTCAAGTGTCTGAGACTGGATTTAAAGTCACGTCCTCCTGACTCTGAGGCCAGCACTCTATCCACTGTGCCACCCAGCTGCCCCAAGAAGGACTTTATTCCTTAACACATTTTGCTTCTGGTCAGTGAGTCCAGCCACAAAGCCTGGGCCCCTTGCTTGTCTCTGCTGTTTCTTCCAGTGGTCATTAGGGGCCACTGGAAAAGGGGAGAAGGGGGCAGAGTGGAATCCAGCCAGTTCAGAGAGGGAGGGGCAGGCAGGAGGCAAAGCTGGAGACTGTCATATTATTGCTCAACAATAAACAGCAGGAAAATCCTCAAAAAAGCAAAGCCATCTTCCTGTCACTTTATGTGCCATCTTCCTGCTGCAGTTAACCTAGTTTACTGGAATTCTGGAGTCCCATAAGCAAAGCTCATTTCCCCATTTTTTGGGGGGATGCAGAGAGGGTGTGTGTGTGTGTGTGTGTGTGTGTGTGTGTGTGTGTGTGTGTGTGTGTGTAGGTTATTTTCCATTAATTAAAAAAAAGCAGAACAAAATGAGAACAAAAAGAAATAATTAAAGAAATGCTCGATGCTTACTATGTTTAAGTAGCCTTTCCATTTATTGTTTTCTTTGTGGTTAAAAAAAAGGAGGAGCTGTTTTTAATAAGATGGTGCTGGCTTTTATTGTTTGATTGACCTGATTTAATGGAGAGCAGCCTGGCATGGGCTCACAGTAGGGATGGCTTGGAAGTATATTAAGGAAGATGTATCAAATTGGCAGTTTCCCCAAGTATTTTTAGCTCCTTGAAATGTGAGGCGGAGCGGCGGCCTAACGTCCCGTCTTCCCTGTTGGCCTTGTCACTTGGGCAGCAGGGACAGCCAAGCCGGCTTTGTAGCGAAGCTCATTAATTAAACATCTGAAGGTCAGTGCATGCTATGGTAACCTTTTTGATCAGTTGGGGGAGAAGAGGGAATTTGAAAAGGCCTTGCAAAAATAAAACACATTGATAGGTGAGGTTCACCACAAACACATCTCTACTGAGCACGCCGCTCTGAATTGATTTCCTTCTAGTTTGGTGTGTCCACGACGAATATCGAGAAAGCCCTCAGTGCATTTGACACCAACAAGAGAGGGTACCTGTCTCTGAATCACTTAAACACTGTTGTTGACAACTTTATATTCCCATTACCAAAAGGGATCTTTCTGCAGCTACTGAAGAGGTAAGTTTTCCTGGGCAACATTTTAAATGTTAGCCAAGTGAGTGGAGGAAGATGGGCCAGGCAGGCTGGGAACCAGGTGGCCTGCCTCGGGCTGCAGCGGCATCTGCAAAATAGCCTGGCGAGGCACCCTCTGCACGAGAGGAGCAGATGGGGAAGAAGGGCTGCACTCTGCAGCAGGGGAGGGCAGGAATCCGTGGGTGAGGTCCCTGATTCAGCCTCGCGGGGCCATGGGCTCGCTAGCTCACGAGGACACAGCCACCTCTTCGGGCCTCCTGGTTTGGGGCTCCAACGTGGCCTGGGTAGAACGTGGTCTAACCTGGACGTGGGGCGAGATGTCACGTGGAGAACCCAGGGAAGCAAGGAGGGAGTGGCGGCTGACTTGTCCGGTGATCCCTATGGATCTTTGAGCTCACCCCTCTCCGATCTCTTAGGATACAACCCAAGACTCTTAGGGATCTAACTGCCCTCAAGGATCATTTGAAGGAACTGGGCTGATTGGCTCTGAGGAGGGAAGTCTGAAGGGAAACATTCCGGGGCTAGGACTGGGAAGTCCCAGGATTTCAGAAGTATTACAGCTCCCCAGAGGGGAAGGGGTTGTCTCTGAGCTAGTGAGTTCCTTATCCCTCCAGGTATCCAAGGGGATTTGTTGGGGTGCGCACTTGAGAAGGGGATTCCAACAGCTTCCATGCAGAGCTGTCCAGTAGGGGTGTGGATGGCCTTTTGAGGCTGCTCTTCTTGACACTGGAGAGTCATAGGAGCGTGCGGTCAGAGGCTTGGGAGCTGGGAGAATTGTCTTATCCAACCTCCTCATTTTTCAGATGAGGAAACTGAGGCCTAGAGGGTCAGAGCTGGGCCTTGTGTCCTTTCTCTAGAAATGACCCAACTCCTGCCTTCAAAGAGTGTCCAGTTTCCTGGGGGAAGGACAGGGAGTAGAAGTAACTACTCTCCCCCATGTCCAGGGGACAGTGAATCCAAAGGCCTGGGACAGACATTAAGAGGGATCAATCATGTTTCCATGGGGCCATGGGGAAGGGACAGGAGCAGGGCTGCTTCGTGGGCATCTTTTGGAGATTCTTACGGGACCCTCCCTCATTGTCCCGGGCTCTCATTGTTCGCAATGTAAGTCGTATGGCCTCAATGGAGAAAGTGCATTTCATCTAAGAACAGTGCTCAAAACCAAGCTAGGATGGTTTGTCTCCCATTTTTCTGACATCCCCAGTTCTCAGCTCCCTCCCAGCTCTGACATCCCCTGTTCTACAGCCTCTGCCAGCTCTGAGTTCCAAGTCCAGCCCATCTCAGGGCAGAAATCCCCACTTCAATCACCACCAGGTGCACAGCAACAGCAGTAACACTGTAATCAGGACAACGGAGTCCCTGACAAGTGGCCATCCAATTCTCACTTGTTCTTTAATTGATGGGGAGCTCACCACCTTCCAGGGCAGCCCCTCCCACTCAAGGACAGCTCTGTTTGTTAGGAAGAACCACCCCCCCCCCAGCCTGAGTGAAGATCTGGGTCTCCGAGGTTTACCCCACAGGGAACCCCACGTTGGCTGCTCATTCCACTATTGGAAGGCAGAGCTCCCACCCCCCATAGACCTTGGTGGTAGATGACATGTAGCTGTTGGTGACTTGGACTGCCACAATGCAGCTCTCCTTGACACATGGCCCCCAGATGAATCTAGCTCACAGGGAGGGGATGGCCTCTTATGCTTCCATGGCAGGAATCCATTTCCAGTTTGTCCAAGCTGGTGGTGAGACAGCGTTTCCAATGGACAAAAGGATATCAGAGTAGTGTCTGCAATTTGGAGAAGGAAAGACCTTCATGGAGATGAGTTGTGTCTGCGGTCTGTGTATCTGGAGAGCATCCACGTGGAACCAGCAGTCTCCCCGTCACTGCCGCTTACCTTCCTCCCACTTTTGTACAGGCCGTCATGGTCGCTGGCCTGCCAACATCTGACTTTGCAGGGGAGGGAAGGGGAAAGGAATAAACATGTGTTAAGCACTGACTATGTGCCAGGCATGGTTCTAAGCACCAACACCCTGCATGACAGAGATCAGACCCAAAAGCGAAATTCAGCAGGAATGCACGTCAGGTCTTATCGAATCCACAAGCACAGGAAGGGAGAGGCCCAGTTTGTTGGAAAAAAGATCTGGGAGTCTTGGTGAGCTGCAGCTCACTGTGTCATGTGATATGACACCATCGCCTCCCCAGCCCAGAATCGACATCCCTCTTAATTCTGCCCAAGATTGCAACCGTTTTTTATGGCTGCTCAGCCTTCCTCAGGAGTCTTTTTTCTCTTTGGTGAGGCAGCCGGGGTTAAGTGACTTGCCCAGGGTCACACAGCTGGTGAGTGTCATGGGTCTGAGACCGGATTTGAACTCAGGTCCTCCTGACTCCAAGGCCAGAGCTCTATCCACTGCACCACCTGGCTGCCCCCTTCATCAGGAGTCTTGTGCTGACACCACAGTATAGGATGGAGTTTGATAAGCTGGAAAGAGTTTTTCTTTCTCCTTTTTCCTTTCTCCCCTTCACTAGTGTTTTGCTTTTGACCACCACCTCCTTCAGTCCCTTCCCCCTTTTATTATCCCTTTCCCTTTTCTTCCCCTTTAGTCTTACTGCTGCTTCCCTCCCTTCTTCCCCCCCCTCCCTTTTCTTTCCCCTTTTCCCTCCTACTGCCTATAGGGCAAGTTAGATTTCTATACCTAACTGATTATATTATACCTTTCTTGAGCCAAATCTGATGAGAGTAAGGTTCAAACAATGCTCCCCCCCTTCTTTCCCTCTGCTGTAATAGGATTTTCTGTCTTTTCCTGTAATGTAATTTACTCTTGTCTGCCTCCTCCTTTCTCAGTACATTTTCTAAGATCAGATTGATCCACTTATTTGGATCCATTTAACCCACTTGATTAGATTTTTTTTATCATTACATCAAAGTCAACTAATATCCACCCTCTTTATGTATACTCCTTTAACAAGGTGTAATAACAATACAGTTCTCAAGGGTTGCAAGTCTCATATTCCCTTGTAGGGGTTTAAACAGCCCCCCCCTTATTAACAACATATTGTATCCTTCTGTCCCATTTACCTTTTTAAGTCCTTCTTGAGTCCTGTACTTGAAGATCAAATTTTTTGTTGAGCTCTGGTCTTTTTATCAGGAAAGTTTGGAAGTCTCCTATTTCGTTGAATATCCACCTCCTCCCTTGAAAAATGATGCTCATTTTTGCTGGGTAATTGATCCTTGGCTGCATTCCAAGCTCCTTTGCCTTACGGAATATCATGTTCCATGCCCTGCGGTCTTTTAATGTAGAAGCTGCAAGGTCCTGTGTAATCCTGACTGTGGTTCCATGATATTTAAATTGTTTCTTTCTGGCTGCTTGCAGCACCTTCTCTTTCATCTGGTAATTTTGGAATTTTGCGTTGTCAATTTGGGATCTCTTTCAGGTGGTGATCAGTGGATTCTTTCTATGGTTATTTTCCCTTCTGGTTCTAGGACTTCTGGGCAGTTTTCCTTTATGATTTCCTGAAAGATACTGTCCAGGCTCTTTTTTTCATCATGATTTTCAGGTAGTCCAATAATTTTTAAATTGTCTCTCCTGAGTTGATTTTCCAGGTCGTTGTTTTACTGATGAGGTATTTTACATTTTCATCTATTTTTTCATTTTTTTTTTTTTGTTTCTGTTTGACATGTTTCTTGCTCTCTCATAGAGACATTAGTTTCCATTTGTCCAATTCTAGTTTTTAACAGATTGTTTTCTTCTGTTAGTTTTTGTACTTCCTTCTTCAACTGGCCAATTGTGTTTTTTAGGGACTTGTTTTCTTCAGTGTACTCTTCTGTTAGTTTTTGTCCTTCCTTCTTCAATTGGCCAATTGTGTTTTTTAGGGACTTGTTTTCTTCAGTGTATTTTTTTTCCAATTGGCCAATTGTATTTTTGAAGGACTCTTTTACCTCTCTCATTTGACTATTAAAATCCTTCTTGAGCTCTTCTAAGAAGGCTTTTTGGGCTTCAGACCAGTTCATATTCCCTTTTGTTGTTGCAGATGTGGGTTTGTTGACAATGTTGTCCTCTTCAGAATTTCTGTCTTGATCTTCACTCTTCTCATAATATGAATCTATGGTACGTTTCTTTTTACTCATGGTGTTTCTTTATTCCCTGGCCTTTAAAGAGATTGAGCTCTCCTGCTGGGGAACAGAGGGTACTGACCCAAGCTTCTTGTGTTGGGAGCCTAGGTCTTGGTCACTGGCTTTGTTCTGGGGCCTCTTATGCTGGGAATTGGAGGCTGTAGGTTTCTGGCAGCTTACCGCATGTTGGGCTGGAACTTTCAGGCAATTCTAGGTTGCCTGCTTTTCCTTTCCTTTAGCTTTCTTCAGCTCCTTTTAGACGGGTGCTGCAGGGTGTTTATCTGCCTGGGGCCCCCTGCAGTGTTGTCTCCCTCGTTTCTGCTAATGCACTGGGAGATTCCTTTGTGGTGGATTGCTGAGACTCCTGGTGGTTTTCTGAGCTGGTTTCCACCGGTTCCCCCGCCCTCACTGAGGCACTCGGAGGTCCAGGTGTTGGTGTTTGCCTGCTCTACCACCTGGGCTTCAGTATTTCTTCACAATTGGAGGCTTCAGGGCTCCTACAGCTCACCTGGTGTTGGGTTGGAATCAGCAAGGCCGGGGCTTTAGGAAGCCTTTAGGTTGTTTTCTTCACCTCCTTTCAGATGAATGCCGCAGGGTACTTGTCTGCCTGGGGCCCCTTGTAGTTCTGCCTCCCTTATTTTTGCTGAGGCACTGGGACGCCCGTTTGCTGGCCTACTGCACTACTGCTCCTTGTCTTTCTTCTAGTTCAGGTGTTCCAGGGTTTTCTTCTGGGGTGATATTTTCTGGGTTTTCAGAGGTTGATAGGGGAGAGTGAGAGCGACTACCTTTTCACTCCGCCATCTTGGCTCCTGGAAGTGGAATGATAATCTGGAAAGAGTTAAGAGGAGAGTGATGGAGATAGGGAAGGGTCTCCAATCCATGCCATGGGAGCACTTGAAGTAAATGGGGATTTTAAAAACAACTGGAGCAATGGAGGGGAGGGGGGGTGAAGGACCGTTGACTGAGAACCAGAAGGGACACAGAAGCCATCTTTAGGTAGCCACAGGCCTGTCCCCTAAAAGGGGCTTAGCCTGATTCTGCTTGGCCCCAGAGCATAGAACTACGCACAAAGGTGAGAAGCTAGAGAGGGTAAGACCAGAGTCTTAAGGAAAAGGTTACAAAGATGAGTGTTTTCCCTAAGTGGAATGGGCTTCTTGGGAAGGCAGTGAGTTCTCCATCTTCTGGGGACTTTGGGCAGCAAGTTGCCAGGGCAATGGCGGGAAGGGTACCCTCCCCCGGGACACACTAGGCGGGGGGCTGCAGGCGCTCCCAGGGCCTTGGGTTCCACAGCAGGGGCTTTGGAGCTGGTGATCCCAGCTCCTCCTTCCTCTCTTGCTTCACTCTCCACAAGCCACACACTCTGCTGGGGCTTCATTTCCTCGAAGTCTTACACGGCTATTCTGTTCTTTCGGCTTCAGATGGAAACCTCCCCCAGACTGCTGCTGCCCTGCCTCCTTCCTGAACACTGAATTCAGGGGGCCTAGAATAGAGCTAAAACTGTTTAAAACAGCATTTCTATTTTACTTGACCCAGATTAGGATTTAAAACCACCAGTAAAATTGCTTGGAAGCAATTTTTAAGAAAATGTCAGGACTGTGCCTTAGTTGACAATGGATACATGATTCCCCTGAGGAAAAAGAAAAGGTATGTTGTATGTTCTGCTCCCTTTTATGAACTGAATTTGATTAAAATACTGTGGAATATTGAGAGAAGTCATATGTGGGTGGAATGCCATCGGTAGTCATTTGAGACTTGGCAGATGGGGTCTCACTGAAAGGGCTTTAAGTGTGTATACAGACATAGGGATATTCTGGGTAAAGAACTCCCATTTTTAGAGCCATTTATGACTGCAAAGCCTTCACATGTGGCCTCTGACCTGATTCTCAAAAGAACCCCGGGAGGTAGGAAGGGCAAGGAATTGTATGTCCATTTTTCAGATGAGGAAACAGAGGCACAGAGAAATGAGGTGACTTGACCCCCAAGGCCACTTAGCCAATCATGATAGAGCTGGGACCTCAGGATAGGGCTCCTTAATCCACCACTGGAGGTCTTTTCTTCACTCTAGGCTTTCCGGGGCAAGTGGACCTCACACTATCAAAATGAATGATGATAGTAATAATGAGAATAATAAGAAAACTAACTAGCATTTCTAGAGATCTTTAAGGTTTGCAAAGCACTTTACAAACATTATCTAATTAGATTCTATTATCCTCATTTTACATGAGTAAATTGCCTTGCCTGGGGTCTTTTGAACTAAGAGCTTTCTGCCTCCAGACCCCACCCTTTTCCTGGTGGGCTAGTGAGTGAATAAGTGAATGCATGCTGGGTTACCCCACTCCTCGACCTGGTCAATGAACACTGAGCTCAGTGCAGGGCGGGCTCCAGATACAAAGGCCAGTAGGAGCCTTGGCCAAGCTTCTCAGCCCTCAGCACCCAGTGACAGAGCAGGGGGTCAGGGTGCTTCTCTGATGCCATTTCCACGGATAAAACCATGTCTGTTCCTGACATTGAGCTCTTTGGTGATTCCAAGGACTTTGGGGGCAAGGTGGAGAAGGGCCAAGCCCTTATGGGCACCTGGACATCTGCCCTGCCACTGCTCCTTTCCCTAGTCACCAAGCCTCACAATGTTAGAATGTAAACTCCTCGAGGACAGGGCCTATTCTATGTTTTGGCTTTATACCTCCAGCGTCTGACATTGTAACTGGCACAGGCTCGGTCAATCATTCATTCAGCTAACATTTATCAAGTACCTACTATGGGCCAGGTGCTGAGGGTGCAAAAGGAAAGCACTTAATAGCAGCCTTTTCCTATTAATTTCACTAAGTGCAAGCAAGACAATTGTGTTTCAAAGAATGTAAGCTGAATTATATTTTCCTATTGCTTTCAGTTTGAATTTTAGAGTTATGTTCCCAAGGTAAGAAAATGTTGGCTCCCATGTGTTAAAAAAAAAGCCTCATGTCAATATTGTAACATACGGGCCTTTGAGGGCGCAGTAGGTAAAGCACTAGAGTCAGGAAGGCTTGAGTTCAATTGACCCTGGACAAGTCATTTGAGCTCTGCCTGCCTCAGTTTCATCATCTGTGAACTGGGGTTGATAAAAATGTCTCAAGCTCTCAAGGCTGTCGAGAGAATCAAATATTTGTAAAGTGCTTTGCAAACCCAACTGTCCTGTAGAAATGCTGGCTCTTACATGGTCACTGCATAAGCACACAATAAACATATATGAACACACACGCATGCACATATGTGTTTGCCTGTTTATATGTATGTACATGTCTAGGTTTGTATGTGTAAAGACACATTCCTTGTCTATGGCCACTTTCTGGAAAGCTCTTCCACTTGCTCGGAGCGGGACCTTGGGATATGAATCCTTCCATCCAGTACCCATCAGGCATCTGTTCAGTGATGCAGGGAGGAGGGGGCTTAGAGGCATTTCTGACCACATCCTGTGCCTTTCTGGTCATGAGAGGCTACTGCCTGGACCTGGACCCTGGCTGCCTGGACGGAGGACCAGGGCCAGGAAGGAATGCCGTTGGGGCCGATGGAACCTTGCAAGCTCTGACCTTGGGCTGGGGTAGCCAGGGGACTGGCCGGCAGACCCCTGGTGATTGGGGCTGGCTGGCCCAGCTCTGAGGAGGGTCGAGGGTGGGGCTGGTCTGGGAGGAAGACCTTCTCTCCTGTTATTCTTCCCTCAGAATGTCTGGGGAAGAGCCCATCTACAAGGAGAACATTATCATGAAGCTTTGTAGGCACGTGGAAGACTTCTCCTCCTTGAAGAAGGCCTTCCATATGATTAACCCGGTAAGACTGGGGTAAGAGTGAGGCTGGGCCTGTGGGAGCTCTGGGCTTGGTCAGCCACCCGGAGGGACTGACAGAAGCTGCCCTGTCCTCTCCCAGAAGGGGCATCCCTGGGGACTCCCTGAGGGCCTACACCTGCCCAGTCACCCAGAGCAGCACCCCCACCCCACACAGATGAGGCCCAGAAGGGTTCAGTGAATCCCCCGAGGTTACACTCTCTTCTGCCTTGATGTCGCTTTTTAAAAGGCAGGGTTTGGGGGTCAGTTTAAAGAAGGAAAAGGAGAAGCAGTGAATTCTGTGGTCTGTTAGCTGTATTATCTTAGGCAAGTCCCTTGGCCTCTCAGGGCCTCAGTTTTGCTGTCTGTAAAATGGCCATAATCCATGCCCTGCTGATCTGGTGGGACTGTTCTGAGAGCTGGCTCTATGAACATGAGGACATGACACATGTTAAGCTCCTGTCACAGTGTCTGGCACCGATAAATGGGCTGTTAAGGGGCCGAGGGGCAGTGTGGTACAGTGGGTGGAGCACCCAGCCGCAAAGCAAGTTGTTTTTGGTTCCAGTTCCACCTTATACATTAGCTGTGTGACCACAGGCAAGTCTCAGTTTTGGGAAATGGAATAATGATGCCTTCGGTGCCTCCAGCACCTAAGAGCGCTGTTGTGAGGGCTCCTTCGAGACTCTGAGCTTTAGGAATGAGCCATACGGAGACAGCCGCCACTGCCTTGAGGAGCATGGTGATGGTGGCTCGGCACCCTCATGGTGAAATCCCTAGTGATCAGGGGATGGGAAAGCTTCAAGGAATTCAAGGGAATGGGGCTCTCTGGACATGACTCGGGTGAGCTCTGACGGTGTCATTCACTGGAGAAAATCTTTTCCGTAGGGTTGGCCTCGTCCTAACCCTTCCAGACACTAAGAGAATGGGGAGAATATAGGAGCTTGAGGAGACCCTGGGGTGGAAGAAGGTAGCTGAACAAGGTCCCAGAGGTGAAAGGAAAAGGGAGGTGTGAGGTCCCAGAGCCCCTTGGTCAGGGTGGGATGGCTGAGCCTAGAACCCAAGCACTAAAGGAAGAGGAGGATGAGTGAGGTCCCAGAGCCCCTGGGGCAGGGTGGGATGGCTGAGCCTAGAACCCAGGCACTAAAGGAAGGGGAGGATGAGTGAGGTCCCAGAGCCCCTGGGGCAGGGCGGGATGGCTGAGCCTAGAACCCAGGCACTAAAGGAAGGGGAGGATGAGTGAGGTCCCAGAGCCCCTGGGGCAGGGTGGGATGGCTGAGCCTAGAACCCAGGCACTAAAGAAAGAGGAGGATGAGTGAGGTCCCAAAGCCCCTGGGGCAGGGTGGGATAGCTGACTGATCCCAGGACCCAGAGGTCCTTAGTAGGTTGGTAACTACATCCCTTGAGAACAAAGACTGGTGTTTCATGATGCCATCAAGGCAGGTGGCTTTGTTAGGTTTTGTTCCATGGAAAAATGCATTTCTGTGTAGAATAAATTTACTTAGATGGGCTTTAGAAGGGCATGCTGAATAGAACACACCTTTCTGGGCAATTAAGTTGCTCCTTTAAAATAAATTAGGCCCTTTGATTAAGGAGAAGAATATAATAACAATAATGAATAGCTGACATTTATAGGGCATTTTTTGGTTACAGGACACAATTTTTTAAAGTAAAATTAAGAAACATCTATCTTCAAGACACCTTGCTAAGTGCCAACAATATAAGGACCCAAACAAAAAAATCCTTGCCCTCAAGGGGCTTCCATTCACTGGGGAGGCACCATAGGTACCCAGAAAAATGAAGGAGGGCATTTGAAGGGGGAGGAGCTAATTGAGGCTTGAAGGAAGCCAGGGTGGAAATAAAAGGCAGAGGGAAGGAGTGGAGAGTTTGCTTTCGTGATTTCCTCCTTCTCTGTCCAGCAGGACGAGAAGAGGAGCAGCGTCGACAGATGGTGGGCACAGATGGAGGGTTGGGGTTTGACAAGGAATACTTGGGGAGAAGACAAAGGCCGAGGGTTTGAGGGCAGAGAAGAGGGTGCTAAGGGGCTAGAGAGGACAGTGGAGCCAGGGTAGGTAGGGGAGATGGTGGGGTGGAGGGATTGGAGGCCACAGTGAAGATGAAGAACCGTTTAGGAGGAGGCAGGCACCGGGAAACAGAGGAAGATAGTACAACATTACCATTGGATGAGGGCATTTCAGCATTCACAAACACGGATGTGTGATAATTGTAGGTGAGGGCAGGATCAAAGGTAGGTGGGCAGGTGAGGCAGCAGGGAGGAGCAGCTCATGGGAGCTGAGTAGACTGAGGCTCTGGAAGGGACTCCTGAGGCCAGCTAGTTCAATTCTCTTACAGATGAGGAGACTGAGGCAGACAGGGGTAAAATGACTTGCCCAGGGCCACACAGCTAGTCAGTGTACAAGGCAGGATTTGAACTCAGGTCTTTCTTCCTTCAGGCACTATCCAGTGCACTGCCTCAATCAATGGCCCATTACTCTCCACCTCTATCCCAGTCTTCTCCACACTAATCGTTGCCAGTTCCTTCCCTGCCCCTCCCTCTGACATCTCTTTCAGTCCCTTGCCCAACCTGGATCTTTCTGCCTCCTCTTTTCCCAAATGTACTACATGTTTACTTACAACCATATTTTCCAGTTGAACTCTTTACAATTTGCCCTACGTGCATTACTATACCCACTTCACAGAGGTAAGAAAACAGAGGCCCCACAAGGGTGGGGGGCTGGGTCCCTATCTTCCGCTTGCCCGCGGGCATCGGCCGGCCAAATCAAAGCTGCCACACTTCTTTCATGCTGGTCTCTGTCTCTGTCCCTTTTCTCCTCCACCCCGTGGTGCCCGAGTCAGAAGCAGGACGGGAAGATCACGGGGAAAGAACTGCGGCAGATCCTGAACTGTGCCCTCTGGAAAGTCAACGACCTCGAATACAAAGAGCTCATGCAGATCCTGGACCCAGCAGGCTCGGGCTGCGTCCACTACATCACCCTCTTGTACCTGCTGGAAGAGGAGAGCTCCGCGGTGAGTGTGCCAGCGGAGCAGACGACGGCGTCCGGGCCCGGGAGCCGTCCAAGGTCCTGCCAGTGAAGCGGCCTAGGCATTGTAACGTGCCGCGGACCCGCAGGCTGGGCTTCCATCTCCTGCTGACTGAAGCTCCCTGAAACCTCCCTGGGCTCCCGGGCGTCTCTGTAGGGAGCCGGGCAGAGTGGAGCTTCACCCTAGGTGTCCACGGCAATGCCTCTTCAACTTTTTCTCCAAGGGGCGCGCGCGCGCGTGTGTGTGTGTGTGTGTGTGTACACGAGCATGTGGACTCTCCTAGCAGAAGATCCCAGGACCGGGGTCAGCGCTGGGCGGAGGTGACAGGAGTGGGGAAGGGGCTGGCACCAGGCCTGACAAAGGTGGATGGAAGGGCCAGAGGATGTGCAGTTAATGCCGTCCCCTTTCCTTCCCCCAAGTCCCTGTCTTGAATTTTCTGTGCTACATTTCTCGGGTGGGGTGGAAGCTCCTCGAGGGCAGGGCCTGTCTTATTTTGTCTCTGTATCCCCAGCACTTGGCACAATCATTTGAACACAGTAGGTGTTGAATAAATGTTTGTTGACTTAAGTTGGATTTACCCTGGGGAAGAGCAGACTTGGGAGTGGCAGGATCTCTGTGCGAGGTTTAGGCATAGAATTGTCCCCAGGGGGTGGAGGGAGGGGGGTGGGAACTGCAGAGAGGCAGGGTCAGGCTTGAGGAAAAGGAGAGCTTGTGGAAGGGGCTGTCCCATGTGACGGGGACCCCCGATGCCAGCTGGCCACTTGCTGGGAGTCCTCACTAGATGGCTCAGCAGCCATTTCCAGGGATTCCAGGTTCACAAAGTACTTTCCTCGCAACCTTCCTGGAGGTGGAAGAATGGTTATTTCAATTTTGTAGTTGAGGAAATAAAGGTTCAAGATGGTTAAGGGACTTGGCCAGGGTCACCCAGCTGGGAGGACACAAAGTCAGGTCCCGTCCTCCTCGCCCCAACTGGGCTCCAGGTGTACGCAGGGCTCTCCCCATTCTGCCCTGCCACCTTTCTAGATAGAGATTTCTCCATCCAGCGTGTGAGTGTGACCAGCATGGTTAGGGTTGGGTAGTCCAGCTAAAGTCTTGCTTTCTACCAGAAGTCCTTCCCAGTCATCCTTAATGCTGCTGCCTTCTGTCTGAGAGCCCCTGATTTCTCCTGCCGGATCTTGTTTGTACACAGTTGCTTGCCGGGGTGTCTCTCCCATTACACTGGGAGACTCTAGAAGGCAGGGCCTGTTTTCACCTTTCTTTGTATCTCCTGCTCTTAGCATAGGGGCTGCTGGCACATGGTGAGTTCTTCATAAATGCTTTGAACCCTGGCTGGGCAGTGTTCTCTGATGGCCTAATTGGGCCATAGGCTTGGATGACCTTATGGAGGCACTCATAGACTTGCCCCAAGCTGTGCTGCATCTGCCTTCCTTCCTGCAATGGTGGGATGCCTCAGCCAAGGCCCTGCCACCCTTCTGCTTTCCAGTGATTTCAACGCCTGGTGGAGCACCCAGAACACACTTCATGGTTCAAAAGGGGCCATTTTATTGGGTCCAAAGTTTGAATTCAACCCATATTGAAGCCCTTTTAGAAAGTCTGTATGTGTGATGCAGGCACATTACCTTATGCAATACAACTTCGATACCACCCATTTCATCAAATATTTTGCTTTGCAAAGGATGAGAGATGGGGGACAGCCAAGTCTGGGTTGTGACCATCTTGAGACTGTGAGAGAGAGCAGGCTTCATCCCTGGAAGAGGTTCCAAGACATTAATGATGTGACAGTTTCATTGCTGGACAGGTTGGAAGAGATAATGGCATGGCAAACCATCTTTATTGAATAGCTGCTATAGGTAGCACGTATATCCTGAATATATCCCATTCAGGAAACATCTATTTGTTAAACTACTATGTTCCCCACATGGGACTAGGTATCAGAGATACAAAGAAAAAAATACACAGCAAATCACTGAAAAAACCTGAGTCTCTGGTCTCACCAGGAGTTTCTGTTCTGGGATGTGTGTGTGTGTTGTGTGTATGATGAGCTTAGCTACACAGAGAACCAAATACTGCATAAATTGAGAAGGGAGAGAGAACTCTAACAACTGAATGAATTAAGAAAGGCTTTGAGTGTAGGCTTGTACCTGCACCACAGTCTTGAGAGGGGGCTTATAGTGGGAAGGAGCAAATTCCAGGCAACAGCAGATGCAGGGGCACTGGGAAAAGGCAGAAAAGAATCCCATGAAATTTGTTTTTTTAAATTATGTAATCAGTTTTTTTTTCCAATAAGTGGTCCTCTCTCTCCACTAGCTTAGAAAAAAAAGACTGAATGGATTCAAAGATGAAAAGACACCTCAATTTCTAGCTTGGGATTCAGTAAGTAACATTCCCTTTCTTGTTATTAATAAGATCAGTGGCATTACTATCGACCTTACACTAGGTTGACTCGGTATTTTAAGAGCTCAGGATTTTGTCATTGAGTGCACCCACTCCATGCTTCTGCAAGTAGCCTTTGATGGTTAGTTGTTGGCCGCCCAAAGCTGCCATCTCCAAGTGGCTATCACTTTGGTGAGGAGCCTCTCCACCCCTGGTGACAGACAGACATAGTCGGCCTATCCCACCTTGCACTCAGAGCTTTCTCACCTGGCTAGCATCTGCCAATGCTTGTGCCTGTTGGGATGGCTATTAGAGATGCAAGGTGAGTATAGGGAGGTACCACCATCACTCACAAGCTTTACAGTGAACAGAGCATGTGCCTTGTAGTGCCCTGTGATGGAGGCCAAGCAAACGTTAGGTTATCCCCATCTTACCAAGGAGAAAATGTGCCCAGAGAGGAGATGGGACTTGTCGGGGGCTACATGACTGGCATGTGTCAGAGTCAGAGCTTCAACCCCAATTTAAAACTCAAAGCCTAGTTTTCTTTCCATTATGCTCCAGTTCCTTCTCTTCCTTCATGTTCATTCAGTGGACGTTGCCTCATTTGTTTTATACAAAGGATCATGAAATAAAAATGTTTCTGATGTTTGTGTTAGATGGAAGAAGTCCTTCACGATGCCATTTCCAAGAACTTGCAAGGCTTCCATACCTTGTTGAAGACCTATGACATTGGAGACTCGGGAGTCATTAGTAGAAATAATTTAAAGAAAATCTTACAAATGGTCTGCCGCTATTTGTCTGATGAGCATCTGACAAAGTAAGTTGTCTGGCCACTGATTCCGAGTGTGTCATCTCATTGCCTGGACTTCCCCAAGTCTTCTCTCTGCTTAAACCCAATCCCAAGACAACTCACCACCATTTATTTGGTCAGCGGTAGGGTGAGGCCGTTCTGAGCTCATCAGCCTTATGAAAACGGGCAGGGAGCTGGATTTAGCCCTCGGGCCAGAGTTTACCAGCTCCTGCTCTAGGTAACTGATTAAGGCCAGGGGCACGCTAGCATGGCTTCCAATAATGAGAGATCACATTTTGAAAGTGCTTTATTAAACTCAACCGGCTCAAAAAAGGGGAGCCGGTATAACTGGAAGCTGTGCCGGTGTGTGTCGTGACTTAATCGCCTCAAGCAGGGGCTGACAAAGGCTGAATTAATTGGTCAGCTCTTGCCCTCTCATTTTGTGATTTTCTGGACCACGTACATCAGAGGCTGCTCCTGCTACAGATTCGCCCAAAGCCTTCTAGGGGATGGAGTCCTGCTTCCCTCCAAGCCAAGAAGAGCTGATGCCATTAGCCCCTGTGGAGTACAGGACCTTGTGCTCAGTGCTGAGAGAAATGCAGACTTTAGAGAAGCTCCTTTTGGGCTGGGGGCAGAGCCAGGGTCCTCTTGACTCCAGATCCACACCACACCAATTCCCACATATATCACATATACATGTGTATGTACGTAGCTGTGTTCCATAGATAACATAGTTATCTATACTTAGATGTATATGGAAAAAGGAAGCGCTTATTCAGTGTGCTTTATGTGCCTAGCACTGTGCTAACTGCTTTACAAATATGATCTCATTTAATCCTCACAGCCTTGGGAGCTAGGTGTTATTATTATCCCCATTTTATAGAAGAGGAAACCTAGGAAACTGAGGCACAGACAGGCAGACAGGCTAAGTGACTTGCCAGGGTCACACAACTAGTCAGTATCTGAATCAGGATTTGAACTCAGTTCTTTCCTACTCTAGGCCCACGGCTGTGTAGTGGTGCCACCTGGTGCATATCATAATAGTCATGCACGATTACAAAGGGCTTTCCTTCCCAAACCCTCCACAGGAGGTAGGGTAAGCATTGTCCTTCTCAGTTTGGAGATGATGTCTCTGTGTCTTTGCTCAGTCCATTCTCCATGCTTGGAGTGACGTCTCTCACTCTCCTTGGCTGTTGAGTTCTTGTTCTTTAAAGCCCAACCTCCCCTAGGAAGAGCCCCCATTAGTGAACACTCTTCCCATGTAGACCTCACATAGCTCTTTGCCTCACACCTCTTCCCATTCATCCTGAGATAGTGTTATAAGTTATCTATGTTGGTGCCATCGCCTTGGCAGTGAGTGAGTTCTGGGAGGGCAGGGTCTGTGCTCTTATCAAAACTTGGTATCTCCCTCAGCACATAGCACAGGGTCCTGTACATGACTGGAGTTTAATGCATGTTTATTGCTGTGTTGTATCAGCTGTATCTGTAAAAAAAAAGCCTTTTTTTTTTTAACATGTCTGTGTTGTCTGTGATGGGGCAAGCACTGGTCGAGCTGATTTGGAAGCGCTTGGTTTCCTCTGCAATCCCAAGGGAAATCTGCTCTGTGGCCACTAGGGCTCCCCAACTCTTTCTAGAACACTTACAGAGGCCAAAGATACAGAGTGAGGCTTTTCTTTCATTCCCCAAAGTTCTAATGGTTTCTTTCTTTTATTCAGACTCTGTGATAAATTCCATGATGCGACTTCAGGAGGAATCCTTTACAAGAAACTTTTGGCCAGTATTGGAATCACCAGCCTGCCCCAAGACTCTCCAGTCACCGTCCAGAGCTTCCAGTCACTAAATGGAACTTGTCGAAGAGATGATGTTTATGAGAGGTATAGAGACAAGCTTTTGATTTGAGGTTAAAAATTATTCATTTGTTTGACTAGGCTGTTGTAGGTTAAATGAGACGTATGGTACATGTATTACAAATCTTTTGGGGGGAATTGATAAGTGATGCCATTTATGGAAAACCTGAGAAAAACAAAGCACTTACTTGCCTTCTCAATGGGTGGGGGAAGGACTGGAGGGAGGGAGACCATGTGGAACTCAAAATAAAAAGACGAATGTTTAAAAAATAAAATAAATCTCAGCTTTAAAAAGAGAAGAGAAAACCAAAGCAAACACTGCCTTCTGAGAGCTGAGGAGGTTCCATGAAGTTCCAACATGGAGCTTGGAAAGCTGGCCTGAGAGAGTGGAAGCTCCTCAGGGCAGGCACTTTTATCTTTTTTGTTCTGTATTCCCAGCACCTGGCAGAGTGCTTGGCCCTCCTTCCAAATAAGGTCCTTGAAGGCAGGGGCTGTTTCATGTCTGTCTTTTATCCCTGACACTCAGCACAGTGCCTAGCACACAGTAGGTGCTTAATAAATGCTTATTGATTGTTAATTGATTAGCACCTAGGTCCTTCTAATTTTGCTTCTCGATGAGCCGGAAGTGCTTCAGTAGCCGTTGGACATGGTTCTGCCATATTTTAGAGCTTTAGAAAGGACTTTCGAGTCCATCTATTCAAAACCTCTCGTATAGAAGGGGAGATGGGCACAAGGTCACACATGGTACCTAGAAGACACGAGGTCTTCTGATTCCCAGTCTGGGTTCTCTGGCATAGGCTGGGCTAGAAGTTCCCACATCCACATTAGGCTTGGTGCCAGGTCATTGGACTTAAGTTCCCTTCTGATTCCAGCCAAGAGTCCATCATTCTACTGCAGGATCGCTGCTCCCTTTACCTTTCCAGCAGCCCAGACTTCTTCCTTTCATCTTCTTTGGGAAAAGCTCCCATTAAACTGTTTACTTAACATTTCCAGTACGAGTGATCAAGCTATTAAAATGATTGCCAAATTTAAGTCTTAGCATAAACATACTTAGTGAATCTATTAAAAAAGCCCACCTGATGAACATTCTGACTCTTCTTCTTCTTGAAAAATGCCACTGAGTGCTAATGAAAAAGAATGATTTTAACTTGCTTGTTCATGGGTCATAATAAATCCACAAAGAAATGTAAAAGAGAGGCGAGGTTTTCTCACTGTAGCCTCCCTTGGAAGATGTTCTGGGATGAGTATCGGTGGACTGTCTTAATGGGTGGCTGACAAAACCTGAAGGCATTCCTGTTAGGGTGGTGGCATTGGCAAGAGCTTCCAAAATGGGGAAGATGGATCAGACTGAAAAAGATAGGTTAAAAGTCCCTGTAGGGCAGAGGGAGGACAGGGACAGGCAAGACGGTGATGGCCTCGAAGGGCCAGGCATTCATGATGGTCTCGGAATCATTGAGCTGGAAGACTTTTCAGATGATGGGTGAGGGGAGTGGGCCCCAAAGGGGCAGGGACTCGCTACCAAGACAAAAATGAAGCACTTCTGGCTCTCAGGGAGCTTACTGCCTAGCTGTGTGACCCTGGGCAAGTCACTTAACCTCTGTGACTCAGTTTCCTTATCTGTAAAATGGGGATAATAGCAGCCCCTCTGGGGTTGTTGTGAGGAGCAAATGAGGGAATTTGTGTAAAGACTTTACAAACCTTAAAGAGCTACAGAAATGCTATTATTATTATTATTATTATCACTATTATATTACCATTTGCCCCAGGGTGTGCTGGGACACCCAGCCACACTCTCTGCCCACCTGATTGTAATGTCACAGTGATCTGTTTGTTTCTAGAAAAGCAATGAATAGGAGTCACTCCATCTCCTCCCCTTCCCAGGCCTCTGTTTCCTCCTGTGAAAAAAGGAGGCTATTACCCCAGGCGGCTAATGAATCTGTAATCCTGTATACTCAGGGGCCTGTCCGCCCCCTCCCCCCCCCACCATGGCACTGTAGTAAGGCTCCCACAGCCATGTTGTATGTGATCTCATTCGACCCTCACAACAACCCTGGGAGGTAGATGCTATTATTACCCCCATTTTACAGGTGAGGGAAATGAGGCAGGCAGGGGTGAAGTGACTGGCCTCGAGTCATGCAACGAAGTATCTGAGGCAGGATTTGAATGTAGGTCTTCTGCCTCCAAGAGCACTCTAATCACCACGCAGGATTTAGTAGTGATGGAGTGTGTAGGGCTTGGGCCAAGTTGCTAAACATTTATTAAGCACCTGCTGTGTTCCTGGCACTGTGCTAAACACTAGGAATTCAAAGAAAGCTGGGGCAGTCCCTGCTCTCAGGGAGCTCACCCTCTAATGGGGGAGACAACGTGCAAACAGTTGGTGCAAAAGCAATGCAGACCAGAGGCTTGCCTATTGGCCCTGGTGTAGGGGCCTCGACCACCTAAGCCCCCACACAGCTTGATCTGACATTTTTACAGAATGTCAGAGCCAGCCTGGGCCCTTGGTAGCCATCTAGACCAGCTAATTCCTGAATAGGCATCCTCCTTAATGCCCTCCCCAATGGGGAGTCATTGTCCTTCCTGAAGACCTCCACCACCCATGGGGGCGTCTTCACTTCCCCAAGGTGTCTAGACCATCCTCTCATTGGACAGCTAGAGAGGACAGAGACTTAGACTGACCGGCTCGCCCTGGTCCACTGAGGCACCACGTGGTTCAGCTCAAGGCGTCCCCACTCACCACTGTCATCGTGCCACCATCCTCCTGTAAACCTTGTGGGTGGGCCTCTGTGTTTCAGGAGTAAGCATGGTGACTATAGAAATGAGCCAATGAAAAACAAGGCTCTTGAAGAAGTGATCGAGAGCCTCAAGAACTGGATTCAGCTGCAGGACACCGGCTTTCGGGACACCTTCCTCGAGTACAGCAAGCATCCCCTGGAGAAGATCAGCAAAGAGGAATTTAGGAAGGTAGGACAGTGCAAAGTGTGTGTGTGTGTGTGTGCGCGCGAGTGCATGCATGCATGAGTGTGGTCCCGTACTTCTGCACATGTATGCCCATGCTCACGTGCACGTGTTTGCACATCACATGTTTGCATGTGTTCCTCGATTTCCCTGACGTGGCTGGCCTATTGCCACCCAACAGTTCTGTGTAAGCCCCAAAAATCCACCAGACCTGTCTCCAGGAGCCATTCATCATCTCAACATTTCCCTGAAGACATAACTGGCTCAAGATAGCCTTGGAAAATACATTGCCACTGGACCGTCAGACTCTTTGAAGAGTTGTGCCATGCCCTGTGCTAGGCACAAACCCCAAAACGAACCAACTCTGTCCTCAAGGAGTTTCCATTTTACCGGAGAAGAAAACATTTCCATATGTCAGTACATGGGAAATATAAATCTGTTTTTAAAGAGAAGAAAAGGAAGCTAAGCCTTGAGTGACCTCGGAGGGAAGGGAAACCCGAGAGAGGCTGGGTAGTTTCTGAGGTGAGGCTCAGCAGAGGCCACCTCTTGTCCATCCTGGTCTTCGTGGGCCTGTGGCCTCCCAACAGGTCATCACAGCCAACAGATTGGGCTCTTCAGGGACACAGGAAAAAGTCTTTGCTTTGGCCAAGGCAAAACTCTGCCACTGTTTCACAGTGAAGGTTTTAAACTTGCATGAAGAAATGACTTAGGCTGGAGATGAAAGAATTTAGAATGGAAAAGTTTATCAATTTAGAGCTAAGATGGACATGAGAGATCACCTGGTCTAACCCCCTCATTTTACCGATGGAAAAACCACCTCACTTACTAGCTGTGGGTCACTTCACCTCTGTTTGCCTTGGTTTCCTCATCTGTAAAATGGAGATAATGGTAGCCCCTATCTCCCAGAGTTGTTATGAAGGTCAAATGAGATAACACGTGTAAATGCTTTGTAAACTGAGACTGTTATGATAGCTATTATTGTTGTTATGAGCTGGAAGTGCTCTGCTCTTAACTCCATAAGAGCAGTAGTACTGGTACTGCAGAGTAACCCTCAAAGTGGGCCTCCATGTGAGTCTTAGCCTATGCATCTGAAACACACGAAAGATGTTTCATATGTTTCAATGCAATTTTACATGTTAACATTCCCAGTTTAGAACTTTGCAACTAAAGACTTTTTCAGCCATGTTGCATTTTCACAACTATAGGCACAAACAGAAGTCTCATCTCTTGGTAATTGTTCTCGGCTCAGATGAAATTCAGACTAGGACCAAATTTAGGCCCATCTCTTGCATTCCCCACCCCTGTCCACAGCTCAATCCTGCTTGGGCTTATTAGAGGGTAATTTCTATATGTTGGCATTTCCAGGTAATGCCGCTAGGAATTCACTGATTTTCTTCTGAATATTTCAGGCAGACAGCCCATGGGGAATAGGATGCTTCCAGTATTGTACAATACACGAGGCCAGGACTCTTACTTTCCAAGTAGAGACAGTCCCCAGTGCCCTGTTGTTGCTGCTGGCTTCTGTGTGTGTCCAGAGTGTTAGCAATTCCACAGGGCAGCTCTGATGGCCCATTTAAACCTGGGCTCTGGCTTGATGGTCTTGCTTCTTATTAGGGTAAGTCAGTCACTGTACTCCAGGGGGTGCATGGTGGAGAGAGCCTTGAGATCCGGCTCTGTAGGCCTAGGCTTCCTCTTGCCTTGGCTGCTCGATCCGTTTGATCTTGAGTGACTTTCCTTACCTCATCTATGCAATTCTAAAAACTCTAGCTCTAAATCCAGTGGCTTCCCTGGGTGACCTCAGACAAATAACACAATAATAATAATAAAAATAATAATAATAGATACTTACATAGGAGTTTGATATTTCAAAATCACTTTGTACCTTTATATCGTTTCATTTGATCATCCCACCAATCCTGTGAAGCATCTGTGTTACCGGTGTTATTGTACCCATTTTATAGTTCTAGCACCTGCTCTGAGCAGCTCCCCCAGCTCGCACTCAGTTTTGTAGATTGGGTCCCCAGAGGGCAACTGTTACCTCAGTTTCTGGGGGAAGCCTCGTAGGTGGCTACTCCTACTCCTGCGGATCATGAGCCCCCACTGGTAGGTTTCACATTAACAATCAGCCGATAACACCCAGTTAGCTCTTAGCAAGGGCATTGTCTCAAATGGCATTGCAAGAAGCTAGTAGTCACAAAATATTCCTCCCATGAGCCGCGTATGCGCTTTCCCACAAATGAACGGAGCATCTGTCATAAGAGTAGGCACACCTAAACTGTGATGATAATGAGGAATGCTTACAGGAGACGTATGTGGCAAAGGTACTGAAAGTGCATTCTCACTTCACAAAGTCCTCACGAAGCTACCCCTGGGTGGAGTGTCTTACTGGCTTCTCAAGCCTGCCCTTTTCTCAGCTCAGCTCTCAATTCACAGTTCTCTTTCTTGAAGCTACTTTTTCCTCCAGGTCCCTGTCTCTGTATCTGTATTTGGCTGGAACATGTCTTTGAAGTGACAGATGCCCTCATTTGTGTTGTGTCATCTCTGCACTGGGTGCAGTGACTCTTACTGGTCTAGTACTTCTCCTTGAAAGCCGTATAGCGTGTGTGTGTGTGTGTGTGTGTGTGTGTGTGTGTGCGTGTGTGTGTGTGTAAATCCACTGCTCTCCCCTCACCTGTAGGGGTCTCTTCTATAGATAGAGCTGTTACCTTGCAATCTCTCCTATCACTAAATGTGAACTACTGAACTTCACTTAGGGCTCAGCCATTTAAAACCCTCAGAGGCTGTCTAACTTATTTGCTCAGAGCCAGTCACTCTGTTCCCTTCTTGACCCAATCAAAGAGGCATTCGTGCCTCATAAAAGGTTCAGAGTAAAACGGGAGCATGGGTGAAGTCCCAGGAGAGCCTGAGGGGTGTACAGACTGGAAGTTAGGATGAGGATGAAGAATAAGCGCTGGGGGGAGATGTCGAAGGCAGAAGGAGAGAAGGCTCTGACTACAGCTGCTTCTATGAGGCTTGTAATAAAGCTTGCTGATTGGCTTTCCAATCATCTTGGAATGTCAGTGGAGCAAGGGGAGACTGAGAGGCATGAGGGCCGTGTGTGTTGTCAAAGGCTCAGTCTCTCTTCCTATAATCGTGCCTTTTCCTTTCTTTCTCCTCTTGTTTCTACTTGGTGGTCTGCACTGATCCCACCCTGCACTGCCATTGGGCAGCCTTCTGGAGGCATTCAGAACTGTACCCCTTTCCTCAGGTGCTGTCCAGTATCCTGGGGAATATTTCTTGTCTCCATTCTATGGGGGTTATTATGAAGGAGCTGGATAGGAAGAATTCCCAATAAAAAATCTGCATAATTATTTGCCAAGGTTATATCAGCCAATACGTCCATTTGGGGGTTGGTGGGGGGGAGGGAGGAAATCGATGCTCTGCTGTAGCGTCACTCCTCCTCAAGCAGTCCCTTGTTTCAGCCCACTCCCTGTTGCCCCTCCCTAACATTCTATTCTCCCATCTTTGTACATCCCTGGAACGATCTCCCTCGTTACCTTTACCTCTTGGAGCCTCCAGCTCCCTTCAAGGCTCAGCTTAAATACTCCCTCCTACAGGAAGCCAGTCTTGATTACTACCCCTCCCATCACTGTATTTAGTGTGTAGATATCCTGCATATATACTACCTTGTGTACATTGGGAGGCAGCGTGGTACAATGGGAAGAGCACTAAATTTGAAACTGGAGGTACTGGGTGTAAATCCCATCTCTGATATAAATTACTTGGGGGACCTTGGATAAGTCACTCAGCCTGCTTGGGTCTCAGTTTCCACATATGTAAAATGAGGGAGTTCAGCTAGAGAGCCCTTGAGGTCCCTTCTGGCTCCAGAGCTGGGATCCTAGGTTGTTTCATCCTGGTAGCAAATGAGTTCCTTGAGGGCAGGGAATTTGTTTTTAAATTTTTGAATCCTTACCTTGAGCCCCAAGCGTATGATAGGTGCTTAATAAGTGCTTGTTGAAATGAATTAAAAAAACCCCTAGTAGTCATCTAGTCTAGTCCCCTCGTTTTTACAGATAAGCAAACAGGCCTGGAGAGAAGAATGACTTGCCCAAGCTTTCACAGGTAACAAGTGACAGAGCCAGGATTCAAACTCAAATCCTTTGATACCATATTTTCCCACTATATCTCATTCCCCTTGTCCTCCAAGACCCTCCAGTGACTGCTGGGTTCATTGTCAACTCCTTTCCCTAGTCCCCATCAGTAATCCAGCACCAGGTCCTATGATTTTTCTTCTCCATCACCCCTGGGGGCTTTTCCTTCGTCACTGTCATTGCAATGACTGGTGCCACTGCCTTACGCCAGACCTGAAGACTATGATTTTTTTCATAGTCAGTCAATAAACATTTATTAATCACCTACTGTTTGCCAGGCACTGTGCTAAGGGCTGGGGGTCCAAAGAAAGGTAGAAGACAGTCCCTGCCCTCGAGGAGCTCACAGTCTAAGGAGGGAGACAATATGTGTGAATAAGCTCTAGAGAGGGTGATTTGGAGATGACGGAAGGGAGGCATCATCGACATAGTCACGGAAGAGGCTACTAGTCTAACCCCCTCCTTTTACAGATGAGGAGACTGAGGCCCAGAAATGGTACCTGATTGGCTCATGGCCAAATAGATAGTAAGTAGCTAGTCCTTCCTTCAGTGTAGAGCACAGAGCTTGGAGTCAGGAAGATCTGAGTTCAAATCTCAGGTACTTACTAGCTTGTGTGACCCTGGGCAAGTAACTTTGCCTTGTTTGCCTCAGTTTCTTTATCTATAAAATGACCTGGAGAAGGAAATGACATCACTGCAGGATCTCTGCCAAGAAGAGCCCCAATGGGGTCACAAAGAGTCGGGCAGACTGAAACAACTCAGTAATGACCTTTCTCCTTTCCAGTTATTGTTGTCCAACTTGAGTTGGCCTATGGACTCAGCTCCTTCTCAGTGACTCATCTCCACTCCTCCCACTCACTCAAGTGTCTTGAGCCAGAAAGCAGGTTAGAATGCCTTTTGTGGTCATGTTCTTTTCCGTGTTTGTGACGGGAGAGACTGAGAGTGACTTGGAGGCCAAAGTCCAGCCTGGCCAATGCTACAATGAGCAAAGGATGGGCTCATGCATTTGACTGAAAGTTACAATAAAGCTGACATTGTTTTATGCTTAGAATGAGAGCAGTAGGCTTCATGAGCTGGAGGGGACCTCAGACACCATCTTGTCCGACCCTGCCATTTTCCAGATGAGCCTCTTGGGGTCCACAGGGGGAAAGGGACTCAGCTGAGGTCACACAGCTAGTAGGTGCTCCCCAGTCCAGCTCTCTGGCCTCCCAGCCCAATGTTTGCTCCCTACCCCACACTTTTCCCCTGCTAAGAGGCAGCTAACTTGCTTGGCTTAGTTTTGGATTCTTTGTGTAGAAGTGAAATCAATCCCCTGTCAATCATAGCAGGCACCAGAGATGCCATTGGCTAAGACAAGCACCCCACTTCCGTCTTGTCCTTGTTCCCAGCAATGGGCCGTGCCATTCCGAGGTGCCAGCTGAAACGCCCAGTGGAGGCTGCCGCTTAACTTTCTCCTCCTCATCTTCTCTCTCTGCCAGGTGCTGGAAGATAACGGAATGCCCATGGATGATGAACAGTTTGGCCTGCTGGTTAAAAAAATAGGATATAAAAACGAAGGACTGAGTTATCTTGATTTTGCATCTGGATTTGAAGGTAGCTCAATGTAAGATGCAAATATGGCCTGAAGCAAATCTTGTATGAACAGCTGGGCTGTTCCCTTTGTCCCGCAGCCAGACCGCAGACTCTGAGCTGGGGCTCAGGCGCTCAGTCTGTCAGTGACCGTGCAGCGCTAGCATCGGCAAAGGGCGCCTGCTTAGAGCCGAGCTCCGGGGTTGTTGCGGCCATGAGTCAGCGCCATCGGCATTCTTGGCCACATGATGTGGTGGGCGGTGCCACAGAGGCTGAGCTGGGGCTTGGGTAAAGGGGTGAACACTGTGCCCAGTCACTTGCTCACTCACAAGTGCTGAGCAGACTCCTGCCCGTGCCCGGCCCGGCGCTGTGCCCTTTGACGGGAATGAGTGAAAAGGAAAACCGTCTTTGTCCTGGTGTAGCTTACACTTCACTGGGGAAAGAACACTTTCACACATACATATATGTAAAACACTGAATGTAATACAAGTTACTGCAAGGTAATTTCAGAGGCAGGGAGCCGTGGCTATGGGGCAGCTCAGGCTGTGGCCCTTGAACTGGGCCTTGAAGGGGAAGGGATCCTACAAGGGGGAGGCAAGCAAGGGTGTGTCCCAGGCAGGGGACAACATGGGCAAAGGTGTGAATTCTGGAGATGAAGGAACATTGTGCGTGTGTGTGTGTATGCGTGTGTGCATGTGCATGTGTGTACGAGTGTGTGTATAGGCGTGTGCATGTGTGTATGTGTGTGCATGTGTGCATGTGCATATGAGTGTGTATAGGTGCATGTGTGTATATGTGTGTATGTGTGTGCATGTGCATGTGTATGTGTGTATATATGTACGTGCGTGTATGTCTATGTGTGTGCATACACATTTGTGTGTGTGTGTGTGTGTGTGTGTGTGTGTATAACAGCAAGGCCTCATTTGGGCTGGCCCCCAGAGCAGAGAGTGTCACGAAGCAGGACCGATGTGGTTTAGGGTGTGCCTACAATGTCATCCATACCCTCCTGGGGGCCCAGAGGGGCTGGTGCTCACTAACTTAGTCTAATCACATTTGGATTTTTGTAAAAAAGCCATTCAGATGATTGTCTTAAATGGCAGCGACCAGGTCCTGATTTTCTTTTCAAGGAGGGAGATATATGCCTAGTTAAGCCAAATTAAGATGAATAAAATTAAAAGGACAGAATGTTAAATTCGCAGTCTCCTACAACTTAAAGAATTCTCCTCCACCCCAATTCCCTAAATCTAGGCTTGCTATTCATAGACCAGGAGATGTGGAGCTGGAAGGGACCTCACAGGCCATGTGGTCCAAGCCCCTTATCTGACAGAGAAGGAAACTGAGGCCCGGGAGGTGAAATGTCATGATTTGGAGCTTTGAAGGAGCGCAGAGACTGTTGAGGATGTGGGAGCATAGATGCTGAGCTAGAACCCCGCAGTTTTACAGAGGAGGCTCATGAGGCAGAGAGAAGGGAAGGGATTTGCTGTGTCCAGCACACTTCCCAATGCCACATCACCTCTGTTCTTTATTAGTCTGTCACAAATGGCAGGGCCAGTGGTTGGTCCCACCCGACCACTTGCCTCCCTCCACCATCTTGCCTGGTCCTGGGTGCTGGTACTCTTCCTCGAGATAGACGGATGAAGATTTCCTCCCAAAGACAATGGCATCCCAGAACAATGAGCCGAAGTTGGGCCTGCCCACATTATGTGAGTGGCTCTGCCTCTGCTCTGGTGTTCTCGGGCTCTTCTCCAACATCACACAGCATTCCAGTTGGAGGAATGAGCTCTAGGGAGGTTCTCCAAAGATGGCGTAAATATTAGCTCAAGGGTTTTTCAGTTTCATTGTTAGATCGCTGTTTGTGGGCTGGGATGAGGAGCTTGGGAATGGGAGTGAGGGACTTAAAAATCTAAAGCCAGATATGGGGAGCTTAAGGTGGTTGTGGGGAGGAGGTGATATCTTATCAGAGAGGATCAGGAGCCGCTCCCCTGAGCTGGGCAGTGTCATGGCCAGAGCCCCATCTTGGGGAGATCGCTGCGGCCACTGCCTCAAGGAGGGGCCGGAGGTGGGAGACACGGGAGCTAGGGAGAAGCGATGGGGCCTTGACTTGGAGAGGTGGCCCTGGATCTATGGAGCCAGTGCTTCTGGGGCGCCAGGCCCCTGCAGGCACCCTCGGTGAGGCCCAGCTGGTCGTCCTTGCTGTCAGCATCCACGTCTTGCCCATCCTGGCCATTCCTCTGTGGACACCTGCCTCCCGGGCTCACTGCACTTCTCCTTGCTGGGCGTATGCAGCATTTTCCAGCTTCTTTGCCTGTAGGACCAGGGGTTGGCCTCCATGACCTCTGAGGTCCCTTTCAGCTACAAGACCTATGTCCCTGAGCACTGCAGATGCCATGATGGAGAAGGTGCTGCTCTAGGAATCAAGAGACCTGAACTGTGGCATCCCAGGGTGGGGCTGGAAGGGAAGGCCTTGGGGGCCATCGATGCCCCCCTCCCCATCTGGCAGCTGAGGAGATTCCGGCCTGGGGAGAACCTTGTCTAAGCTGGCAGCGGAGACTGAACCCGGGGCCCTCTGACCCCAGAGCCAGGGTGCTCCCACTATATCTTCCGTGACCCCTCTAACTAGATCTCTTACTAGCTCTAGGACCCTGGGCAAGCCACTTCCTCTCTGGGCCTTTTTATTTTCTTTTATGCATTTAGAAGCACAATTCTGAGAAGCTTATGTTCCCTTGAAGGGAGACCATATGAATGCAGATGAGCCAATAGAAATAAATAGGAAATCCATACCAATGTCACTGGGAGCATCAGGCAGAGGCTTGGTACCAGAGGAAGGCCTGGAGGGGGAGGGGGCTGACTTATTTTTGGCCAGTGCCTCCCACTGCATGAATGGGCTGGGATTTGTCCCCGATACAGTCAGAACAAATATGGCGACTGGGCTTCAAAAGAGCAAGCAGGGGCCTTGTGACCTTCGGCCTTTTGTGATTTCTTTAATAGCTTCAGAGGGGAAGCCTGGTGGACAAGAGCCCTCTGGGATCCTGGCCGTGCCAACGGCTGCTACTCCAAAGGGTAGTTTTGAGAGTCATTTTACATCTGCTGAAGAATGCCTGAAGAATTTTCCCAAGAAGATCAAAGAAATCTACGGGGTAAGAGAGTCCAGCCGAAACCCTCTGTCCCCCTTGTCTTCCTCCGGGAAGTCCTGCTCTCTTTCCACAAACAACATGCCCGTGTGTGGGCTGAGCAGGGCAGAGTCACTGGCTAGCCCCCTGAGGCTCAGCCGGGCTGAGAGTGGCAGCAGGGCTTCCTGCTTCCCCTCTCCACCCTGTCCCACTGCCCCTCTGCAGGGAAGGGCCAGCAGCTGGGGCCCTGCCCTGGAGAAGAGGCCCCCTCCTCCGAATCCCCATCTCTCCACCCTCCATCGTCACCCCCTTTGTTCAGCTTTTGTTAGATTTCTGGAGGAGAGAGAGGAGGGCCCCCTCCCTGGGGACCCTGTGCCACGCTTTCTTAAGCCACTCTCAAAGCATTCTTTAAGTAGCTGCTCTGGGCAGGTTCTTATACAGCCTCGAAATGTTGGGATCCTTGCCCTGAAAGCAGAATTCTTCTACAAATAACCCACCTCCCCCCACAAATAATCAAGGATAAACCCTTGAGAGAGCTAAGGTGACTTACCAAGGATCACACAGGAATTATGAGGAAGAGCCAGGATTTGAACCCAGGTCTCCTGGCACCTACCATTGCACCACACTGCTTCCTTGTCATCTGATGAGTGAGAGGCAATGTGGCATGGGAAAACCTGTGTTCTGGCTGTGTGACTCTGGCCAAGTCACCTACCACCCCGGGTGCCCCGGCACTAACGGTTACAGGCCAAGTGCCAGTTTGCATTGGTGGAAGGAGTATTCATGCTGGGAGTGTCTAGGACAGAAGAAAAGGAGACATTTGTTTTCTGGCCTTAGCTTAACTAGTAGCTCCTGGGTTTTCCACGGCTTCCTCTGTTACCACGCTGGACAGTGCGGGCAGCTACCTCGAGACCAGTCTTTTTGGCCCTGGGTTCTCTTTCAGGACTCGCCCCTGGGGTTACCCAGGAAGCAGCAGGCTCTGGTGAGAACACTGGTGAATGAAGTGGTGAATCATCGGAGCAGATTCCAGTCCTGCCCTTTATCTCTGTGTGGCCACGGGTCAATTGTGTCACCTCTGTGAGTGGCCATTTTTCTCCTCTCTAGAAGAGGGATATTATTGCTCACAGTTTCATCTCACATAATCGTGGTGAGGAAAGTGCACTGTGAACCTTAACATGCTCCAGCAATGGAGGATTATTATTTTTAACATGCTTTATCACATTCTTTGCTCAGATGCCACTTCCGTTTCCCAATAGACAACCTCCTTGCATCTCCTAGAGCAAAAAAGAGAAAAAAAAAAGTTTGGAAAAACCAACTGACACAACAGCTAAGCCTGACACTGTATACTCTATGCCACACCCATATTTCCCCACCTCTTTAAAGAAGGGAGGGAGGAGCGTTCTTATATTGTTCTTTGGGGTCAGATTTGGCTTTTCTCATTTCATAGCCCTCAGTTTTGATTTTTCTGTGTGTGTTTCTCTTTCCCGTTGCGTGTCTGTAGTCATTGTGCATGTGTTTTCCCAGTTCTGCTCACTTCACTTTGCATCAGTTCATAAGAGATTTTCCGTGCTTCTCTATAGTTATCTGTTCATCATTTCTTACAGCACATTCATGGAGCTTTGTCTCAATGCTACACTCCTAGTTTGTTCCGGGGTCTGTTCACTTCACTTTGCATCAGTTCATAAGAGATTTTCCGTACTTCTCTTAATCTTTTATTATGTGTGGAATGATGCAAGGTAATGTTGAAGCATTCCATCTTCAGCTGGGAATTCTGGTCAGCCTGGAACAATTCTGTTTCTCAGCATTATTTATCAGGGGTCATTTAGTATTTATGATATATCAGGGGTTATCATTTCCTTAATGGGGACAAGACTCCTGGGTCCACCGGTCTTAAAAAATTCCCAAAATATATTTTTGGGGAGTGAATATTTTAGTGTTTGATGAAATACCCGGATATTACAGGCTCTCCAACACTTCTTTTGCCAATGGATTTGGCAGAAGTTTTTCATCAGTAAAAAGGACCTTTTCCCCATCTTCAGGACTCCAGTCTTTCTATTGACTTGCCCATGACAAGCATTTTCTCTTTATAGCGATGGATAGCGGCTGCCCTTTCTTCTTGTGCTTCTCATAGCTCTTCCAACATCGGGAAGCTTCGGATGCATGGTAGAGGAATCAGTAACAATCCTATCCAGATTCCACATCCCTTGGAATGTCTTTGCTTGTTGTCTGAGGATTTTTTAGGTTATTTCACAGCAATTGTTTCTCAAAGTCTTGGCTTTGTGCTTTGGCAGAACCAATCCCATTGCATTGTGGGTCTGAATGATCCTTGAATTGCTGTACTTCTCATCAATAGCCCCTGTCATATCTCTAACAGTCACTGTCATGGAAACATGAGTAATATCCATTTTTAAAACAAACAGAACTCAAAAACAAAAGAGAAATGAAACATGTGAAGTTTGACTTAAAATTCAGCCCTCAATGACAGAGAACCAACTCAAATCAGTGATTGTGGCTACTTTCATTAGTCCACTTTCATCAAGATATTCTGAGTTAGCCTGGTGTCAGCAGAAGCATACACACATGATTGTTGCTGTCACCATATAAAAATGATTACTTGTCCCAAATAACTTGTATAAGATCATGAAAATTTGTGTTTTATTTTACCTCTTCAGAGCACACGCCCAGTGTGGCATTTATGTATACATTGAAAGGGATTGGCAATTTTGGCACTTTATTAGCATAATTCCAAATTGTTTTCCAAAATGATCCCACCATTTCACAGCTCTACCAACAATGTATTAGTGGGCCTATTTCCCCACAGTCCCCTTAGCATTAATTGTTCCCATCTTTTGTCATCTTCTCCAATTTTCTGGGTGTGAAATGAAGCCTCAGAGCTGTTTTGATTTACATTTCTCATGTCATTAGGCATTTGAAACAATCTTTCGAATGGTTGTTAATAGTTTCCGATTCTGCTTTCAAGAACTGTTTCTTCATATCCTCTGACCAGTGGAGATAGGCTTTTGGCCTTATATGCTAGTATTTATTCTCTGTATGTCTTGGATATGGAACCCTCATCAAAGAGATTTGACGCAAAGATTGTTTTCCTGAGTTGACCATTGCCTTTCTTACCATATTTTTCATTGATTTTGCTCATGCCAAAGCTGTTCAATTTCACGTAATCAAAATGATCAAGTTATATCTTTTCTGACGACTTCCATGCCTTGTCTGCTTAGTAATTCTTACCCTGGCTGTTAAAAGTACCCGATCCACTTTTCACATGATTTTTTATAGTGTGATTTTTAATATTCATTTGTATATGTTGAGTTTATTAGAGTATATGGTGTAATATGGTGGTTGAAACCTAATTTCTGCCAAATTGCTCTTAATTTTCCCAGAAGTTCTTATCAAATAGAGATTCCTTCCTCCAGCAATTTGTGTTCTCATGTTTTTAAGACACTGAGTTACTAAATTCAATTGTTTCTGGACGTAAAAATCAGTACTGGAAACCAGGTCCCTCTAAACCCACCAATTTTTTTGGGTTACTTTGTTGATGAGAGAGGGACCACCATGATTTAAAACAGAAACCCAAGAAACTGCACATTTTTTTTAAAGGATGCCTACTCTGCCTTTTACAAAACGGACACAAACCATGACGGCATCATTAACATGGTGGAGTTTAGAACAATGTTGCATCACGTGCTGATCACCCTGAAAGATGACGAGTTTATGCGTCTACTTGAGTCGATGAATCTGAAGCCAGGCTTGACGCTAAATTACCGGGAGTTTCGTAACTTGTGTGAGAAGAAACAGTTCAAAAAAGATGACCCCCCACAAAGACTTATCAGGTAAGAAGAAATTCATAGCGTAAGATTGACTAGGTCTTTCTGCTTTTACATTAGGAGCACAGTTCACTGGGGACATGTCACCTGCGGTCACAAAAGGAGCAGGACAGAAGGCAATTGCTCATCTGTCCCATTAGGCAGACATATTAGAATGCACTTAGAAGAGGGGATGTCAGACCTGGGAGGGACCTTAGGGTACAGATTACCAGCCAGAGCCTTGGAACACAGACTCAGAGCCCTAATTAGGGATTCCAGTATCTGTGGCCAACCTAACTCGATGTGACCTGAGGTATGACCATATGGCCCCTTCTTTGCATCACTGGAGGAGAATGGAGGCTGGGAGGCAGGGGCTTTTGAAGGGGTGGGAGTTAGGGTGGGAAAGAAAATGGTGAATCAGGCACAGAGGTTGTTGGGAAGGAGGGAGAGTGACTCAAAGAGGCCCATAAATGGCAGTGCGAGAATCTGGACAAAATTAATGGAACTTGAAAGAAAGAGGAGTGGTTGGGGAATGATGGTGGCAGAGGACAGCTGTGAAAGTGGAACCAAGGTCCTTCTCTGCCCTGTCTTGGGGCAGGAGAGTAGGAGTAGCCAGCATTAGTGGAGGGCCCATGAGATGGGGGATCTTCAGAGGGAAACCAGGTCTTGGGGGTACGAGAAGATGGAAGGAACGTGAGAGAAAAAGATGTAGGCTGGAGGGGAGCTCCAGAGGTCATGGTGGGAAGGGAAAGGGTGAGCCTTGAAGAGTCCTGATGGGAGGGAGCATGTTGGGGTGTGGAGGTCCATCTGTGGGAGCATGCAGAGGCAAGCGAGGGCAGGAGAGGGTGAGCAAAGCTCCCCTGCAGAGCTCTGGTAGTGGGAGGCTGCGGTGTCAAGAAAGTGAATAGGACCACAAAGGTGGGTGGGTACCAGCTCACGGGGGACCCTCAATGCCAGGTCCTAAGGGAGGGCTTGCTTCGATTTGCCCATAGTTGATTAGGAGCTACTGATAAGGAGCCATTTTTGAGCAGGGGGACGTATGTACCAATCTAGTCATTTCCTAGATTCTTTTAACAGTTGTTTCAGTGGTGGGTTATAGAGGGAGAAAGGCTGATGCCACGGAGACTAGAGGTATTTGGCTTTGGGAGTCATCCAAGTAAGACGTGGCAAGGGACTGAATTAGGGTGGCAGATGTGTGAGTGGAGAGGAGGAGAAAAATGCAAGAAGCATTGCGACCGTAGTATGCGCAAGAACTGAATGCTTTTTTGGCAGTTCAGTAAGAACGTATAAAACGTGAGTCTCGGAACTCCTGAGCCCCCATCCTGGACATTTTCCTCCTTCCTCATCCCAGAATCCAATGTTGAGCACAGGAGGGCGAGAAGACAGCTCCTCAGGGAGACAAAGCATGCCAGTGGAAGGCAAATATGGCTCAAATGCATTATTACTTTTAATTTACATGACTAATTTACACAACTATTCTGCAGATGTTTGTGGTTGAAACTGGGAAACCATGATAGAACTTTCTGATGACTATGAGACCGTCTTATATGGCTTGTGTCACATCTGAGAGAAATATGGATTTTGAGAGCTGAATTAGTATGAGAGCAGTCCCTGATAAGAGGCAGGGGGAAGCCGGATGAAAAGCCAGGAAACTGGAAGGTAGATGCTTTCATTAGACACTGCATACAGAAGTCAGAAACCAACAGCTGTGAAGTCAACAGAGACAGGGAAAGCAAGTGGGAACAAAAGAAGACACTAGCAGCTGCTCTGAACTGAGACCAGGTGAGGAGAGAGATAGGTGGGCCTCTTAGGTGGTGGGGAGTGGATCTGTTTGGAGGAACACTCTGATGCTGGGAGCAGATTAGAGAAGGCAAGCTGATTGGAAAAAGGTGCTTTCTAGCACCGTTGATAGCTCGGCAGAGGAGAAGTCCCCCATGGGTTTGCCTGTTGCCCTTTATTGTCTGCTGTGGCTTGAGAGAGCTGACCTGAGGAGCTTTCCAGGTCCTAGCCTTAAGGAAACTGCTTTTCACTGAAAAAAGTATAATGCTGTCTTAGGACACAGCCAAGAGAGCAGGCTGGCCCAGGAAGCTCTGCATATTCTGGGATTAAGCCCCTAATGGTCTCAGGGACCCACAAGTAAAAAAAGCGTGTATTCATCAGGAGAGTAAAGATGCCAAGAAGAAACGTTCCATTGTCTAGGAGGTGATGTGTGATGGGATGTGTGGGGTCAGCCTTTTGCCAAAGAGGCCAGGGACGTGCAGGCCCTCAGTCTAGAGCTGTGAGTTACCCAAGAGATCATACAAGTGGAAAAAGGACCCACGTGTACAGAAATATTTATAGCAGCTCTTTTTGTGGTGGCCAAGAATTGGAAATTGAGAGGATGCCCATCCATTGGGGAATGGCTGAGCAAGTTGTGGTATATGAATGTAATGGAATAGTATTGTACTATAAGAAATGGTGAGCAAGTGGACTTCAGAAAAACCTGGAAAGACTTAATATGGACTGATGCTGAGTGAAGTGAGCAGAACCAAGAGAACATTGTACACAGTAACAGCCACGTTGTGTGATGACTAACATTGATGGACTTAGCCCTTCTCAGTAATACAAGGATCTAAGACATCTCCAAAAGACTCATGGTGGAAAATGCTATCCACATCCAGAGAAAGAACCGTGGAGTCTGAATGCAGATCGAAGCAGACTATTTGCTATTTTTTTCTTCTGTTTCGTTTTGTTTCTTCTTTCTTGTGGGTCCTCCCATTGTTCTAATTCTTCCTTACATCACAACTAATGGGAAAATATGCTTAACATGAATGCATATGGAGAGCCTATACTGGATTGTACACCTTCGGGGAGGGGGAGAAAATTAAAAACTCAAAATCTTATGGAAGTGAATGTTGAAAACTAAAAATAATAAATTAAACTGAAAAAAAAATGGGAGCACAGGAGGGCCCCTATTCAAATCCTGTCCAGACACTCACTAGCTGTGGTCCCCAGGTCTGGAACCTCAACAGTACCCCCGAATCCTCGCTCTCCCTCACCCACACATCTAATCGGGTGCCAAACTTGTCGTCTTCTTTTAGCCATTGCACTCCCCAAGTGCCTGACTTGGGTGTGGGGGCTCAGTACCCACAGCAGTAAGATCCCAGCTCCTCTGGTTATCCATCAGGGTTGCCTGTATGTGACAGACTCCTTAGTGCTCCCCCCAGGGCTTTGACGGGTAGGGCGATGCTTGATGAGAGGCTGCCTTTTATAGAAGGTGGGATTTCAAGTGAGCTCTGCAGGAATCGGGGCCTTCTTAGAGACAAGGTAAAGAAGGGTGGGCATTCCAAGCCTGGGAGCACAGCCTGGACAAAGGCTGGGCGGTGGGACGTTGTGTATGAGGAACAACAAGGAGGCCAAAGTGGGGGAGCAGCCTGACGTCAGTCTTCGGTCTTCGAAGGAGAAGCTTCTGGAATAGAAGAGTGGCATGTTCCTAACTGTGGTTTTGGAATGAAACATTGGCAGCGAGGGAGAATGGACTGGGCTGTGGAGACACCGGAGGCAGGGAGACCCTGGAAGGAGGCCACGCCATCCACGGCCCATTCCATTCCATTTTTCAGATGAGAAACCCGAAGCAGGTACTTGCCCAAGGTCACACAGCTAGGAAGCAGCCAAGCCAGGATTTGAACCCAGGTCATCTGACTCCCAATCCCATCAATCTGTCCCAGCCCTTGGGCGTTCTTTACAATGGGGAGGAAAGACAGATATTTCTATCACCTCCTTCCGCAGACAAGGGGATGAGGGAGGGGCGTGTAGCTCGTGGAGGGCAGGTGGGAGACTTGTCTTGGGCCAAAGTCAGAATTTAAAGCCAGTTCTTTGCCCCCCCCCTTCTCCCAGACAGTAGCAGCCCCGGTGAGCGCCCTGGGTTCAATGCAGCGCCTGCGATGCCACACCCTTCTTTGCAGTCTGGCTCCGACTGGGATACTCCGGGAGAAAAGTGAGCTCCTTGGGTCTCCTCCTAAGGCATCGAACACTTTGTTATTGTCTTTGTCTGCTTGTTTTGTGGGGCTGTGAGAGCTGCACACATCCGTCTGAAGATAAACGGGGACAAAGAAAATTGAGGAAAACTTCCCTGCCATGCGGCCGGGGGAATAAGCCAGTGTTTTAAGGAACAAGTCAGACCAGATGTGAAATGGCAGACGCAAAGCAGGGTCTTTGACACGGAGGCCAGGGGGCTCCTTGGAGGGGGGATGCTAAGCCTGCGGGAGATTCGTGGTCGCCTTCCGTTGAAAACAGTTATTTATTATTATTTTTCCCTTTTCAAGGCCCAAACTGAAGAACACAGATTCAGAACTAGCTTGTGATCAGGCTCATAACTACCTTGTTTCAGAAGCAAGAAACAGATGGTTCGACTTGTCTAAGGTAAGAAGGAGGACGTGTTCTCTAAAGGGAAAGAGAATCCCTTTCCATGGCTCTGGGATCGCCGTGCCCCAGCAGCGATAAACTGCGCCAGCGTGAGAACGCTCTGCTCTCTAGAGCAGGAACCACCCATTGTGCCCAGAAAATGCTATGCCTGTCTGGCTTCCATGGGGGTTCCGTGGTTCCTGCCCCTCAGGTCTCTTCAGAGGCACAGGTTCAGAGAGGAGAACAACTTTCCACGCCAATATTGTGTCGACACATTTCAGTTGTAAAATAGTCTTACAAATGAGATTCCCGAGATCTCAGGTGAGTCAACTCTAGGAACGGTGATTCTTTGCAGGAGCGGTATGGATGGAGATGGCGTTACTGTAGTTACTCCAGAGGGTTGTGGTAGTGGACAAAGTTGTGGCTTGGAAGATCTGGGTTCAAATCCCAACCCAGACACTTACTGTGTGACCCTGGGCAAGTCACTTAGCCTCTCTGTCCCTCAGTTTCCCCATCTGTAAAATGGAGATAATCATAGCACCCCTAATGAGGTTGTTGTGAGGCTCTAATGAGACCTTGGATTAAAGTGCGTTGCAAACCCCAAATGCTGGCTGTTATCAGCACAGCTCCATTAGGCAGGTAGTCTAAGCAGCAGATACCACACTTCCCAGGTTGTTGAGGAAGAGGTTTCTAAAGCTCAGAGGCCAAAGAGAAAGACAAAGGGCCCCTGTAAGAGAGAAGCATGGGAGGGCATTCATTAAGTGCCTAATGTCTGCCAGGTGCTGGGGCTGCAAAGATGAGAAACAGCCCCGTTTTCTCTGCAAGGGATGGGGGCACTCCAAGAAATCTGTTAAGCATTTGTGTGTCATCCTGGTCACTGGGGTGTCTGGGGCTGTTGGAGGGTGCTGTTGGCAGGGCGACAGTCCTCCTCACCACCCTCTTCTCTCTGCTCCCTTTCTGGAGGGATGTAAATCTGGAGATTTAATCAGCTCTGGTAAAATAAGGAATTCTTTCTTTAGTATAGGGACCATGGTCCATGTGGTCCCATCTGTGGCTGCTTTATTGAAGTTTATGTTAAACAGGGAGTTAGGACAGTCATGATGGCTCAGAGCCCCCAGGCAAGAGAGTTCTCAGGACTGAGGCAGAACTTTCCCTTCATGCCCTCATCTAAACTTTTACTTCCAGGTGACCCTAAGTCTTTGAATGTTTGAGGAGAAATTCAGGTTCTGGGGAAGGTGGGGAAGGGAATAAGCATTGATTAGGCACTTACTTTGCTGAGGGCTTTGCGGATATGACCTCATGAGAGATGCTGCTGCTAATGTTTAGGTAAAGCAGCACGTCAGTCAGCTGTGCCTTTTGTGGGTGGGCAGCCCCAGAAGTGGAGATTGGGGAAAGCATCTGGCATTCTTCTGGGAGCTTTCCTCAGGCCTTGAAAAGGCTCCCAGGAGCCCTGCGGCTTCAGCCTGAGCCCTCCTTGAGGCCGCCTGGAGGGGGATGATGGTGGCTCCCCAGTCTCAGGGCACCCTTTTCTTTCTCCTTTCTCCTGTTGGCCTAATTCTTTCTGGATCAACTTGCGGGAGGGGAGGAGAGGAGGAGGGGCAAGGTTGGGGAAGGTTGACCCCACTGTTGCTGCTGCGGCCCATCTGTGAAGGTCTCCCTCCTTCCTCTCAGTCTGTGTCTCTTTCAGAACTCTGGGCTGTTACTCAGTTCTGCTCAAAGTTGGGCCCAAATCGCTCTCCGAGCTGGGGCGGGGATGCTCATCTCTCTGAACTACACATCCCAAGATCTCACTCAAATCCTCATTACACATACAAAGAAAACAGTTGGGGAGGGGAGAGTTAACATCTGCAGGAGGCTCAGGAAAGGCCTTATGTCCAAAGTGGCCCTCGAGCTGAACTTTAGAGGGAGCTGGAGATTCTGAGGGGTGGACAGTGTTCCCGGCAGGGGAAACAGCCTGGGCAAAGGCCTGGAGGCAAGAGAGTAACAGCTTGTATGAGGAACAGCAATTAGGCCAGCTTGGGTGGGAGGTCAAGTACCTGCAGGGGAATAGATTAGTCTGGAAAGATAGGCTGTTGGGAGGGAAATACTTTATAGACCATAATGCATCCTATAGGGTTAGAATTATTAATTATGCAAATTTAAGGGCTTAGTTATAAAATGTTTCCATAATGTCAGTCCAACAAGCATTTTGGTTCCTAACGTGTGAGAAGCTCTTGGCCTGCAAGTCTCCAAGGAGCCGCTGATCTGTGTTGGGGGAAGGACTTTCCTAACCTGTAGTTCCCTGCCTTCTTGCCTCCTCTCCCCCCAAAAAAGCAAAAAAAAAGCATGAGACACTCTTGGTACAAAGTCAAAGATGCAGCAGTCCTTGGCCTGGAAGACCTGCTGTTCTGCTCCATCTGTCACTTGGCTAAGGCAGAGCCTCAGTCTGTCTCATCTAAAGGATGGGAAGGCCCTTTGCCAGCTCCGTGGGTTGGGGCCATGTTGACAGGGGATGGCTGGGGAAGCCATTTGCCCACGTTCATATTAACTAGCAAGTTTTAGGGTGGGATTTGAGCTCCAAGTCACCACCTCTCCTGTCACCTGCATATGCTGCTGTCCCAAGGGAAGGGACTCCCAAAGACTTCCTTGGATGGTTCTTCTTTGATTCAGGTCCTGACTTTGACTTAGGCTTGAGCCGCCATCTGGGTCCTGATTTTTTAATGTCATTTATGCTTCTCAAAATAAGGAAGTACTTCTTAGGGTTAGGGTTGGGGCAGGTGAGGAGAATGGACTGTCTTGTGAAAGAGTGAGCTCCCTGTCACTGGTGCTGTTTTCTGAGACACTGTGGACATTGCCTCTATCAGTTAGAGCTCTGGAGCAGAGTCTGAGACTCCCTCACTGACCTGGGATTCTTTTCTTGTGTTTGACTCTTGAATTCCATTCTGGATTCCTGTGGGCTCCCAGAGCAATGGCCACCTCTCCCTCTTCTTAACACTTTTCTTCTTGGAAGAGGGAATTGGACGGGGCAGGGATTGTGGCCGAGCTGTTTCTCTGGGTCATAGTTAAAGGCACAAGTCGGGAACGGGACATTGCTGGCCCTCAGATTAGCTTCCTTCTCTCGGGATGAGCAGGGCAGGGGGAGAAAAGGAGAAATGTGAGTAAGTTAAAAAAAAATGACAGTGGGAACGGGGGGAGAGAGGACCTGAGCAATTCCTTGTGACGGGCGTGGTCCTGAGTTTGTCTAGGAGGCTTAGGGCATTCAGGGAGTCAGCATAAGGTTAAAGCCACAATCATAGCATTTCGGAACCAGGTGGTGTTAATCAAGCCTTAACGCTAGGCACTGTGCAAAGCATGAAAGGTTGCCTCCCCACAAGGGGCTTATGTTCTGAAGAGGGAGATGCCAAGGACGTATGTGAAAGTAGACAGCGTAACTGTATCTACAAATATAACGCGACATGTTACTATAATACAAAAGACAACAAGATGCAAATAATAAGGCGGTTAAAAACAAGATAAGGAGGGTGATAGAAATTGAGGGCTGGGGGAGGCAGAATGGCTTCATGCAGAAGATGCTGTTTAAAGGAGGAGGACTCTATGAGAAGGAGATGAAGGAGGAGGGCATTGCAGGCATGGGGAATAGCCAGGGCAAAGGTGCAGAGATGGGAGATGGAATATAGCATGTGAAAAACACAAGAGACCCGACTCTTATTGACCCCCCCTTCCCTGCCACAAGAGCCTCCGAGGCCCCGAATTGAGTGTCTTCTGACTGAACTGAAGTGAGACACAGGGAGCTGAGACTTGGAACAGTCTCTGTGGAAGTGTTTCGTTGACTTAGCTGTTGAAATAGCCGAGATTGGCTCCTACGCCCTCGGTGTGAATCTTCCAAGCATTTACCAGCCAAATGGAACATTCTCCATTTCGACTCAGATGCCAATTTCCATTTTTGTCTCCGTTGATTTCGGGAGCTGAACCCTAGTCGTGAAATGTTCTGGCATGCCCTTCACAATGGGGACAGTAGTCATGGGAGCTAGGGCCAGAAGGGACCCCCTTCTTTTACAGATGAGGAAACTGGGTTTCAGAGAATTGAACTGACTCACAGTTCTCCAGCTAATAAGTGTCAAAGGCAGGATTTGAACCCAGATCTCTTTAGGCTCCAACTCAGTACATTTCCCATTCTCTTATCTTTTCTGTGAGTCTGTGGTCCTCGGAATTTGAAGTCTTAATGCACTGAGGGGATGCCTTTCTGGAAGTCGGAGCCTTTAACCAGCCTCAGGGCATTTGGGAAAGTCAAGCACCACTCACTTATTATTAAAGATATTGAATAAAGCAAAAGTAATTTTGGTCTTCATTACTCACATAGTAACTGTTCTCCCCAACTTGCAAATGGGCCATGTTCCAAAAATTAATTTGCAAGTTGGTTGTTGGGAACTTGGAGCTCACTTCCCCATAGAAACAGCAGTATAAATAACAGCTAAGCCCCCAGGTTGGTCCCGAAAGGTCCATGTTATAAGTAGAAGGGAGGGCAATGTAGTTCAGTAGGAAGAATACAGAACTGGGAGTTATTTTCCATTCTTCAGAGGCTATTGGGGTCTATGTGTCACAGCCCTATGGCACCCTGGAAAAATGAATCTGTAAACTTGTCTGCTCTCTGAGACATCGAGGACCCACCCCCCGTCACCTCCCCTGCCCTGTGATTCATGCATGAGTCCCCTCTGCGAATACTCAAGGGACCAAGCAGCTGCTGCTTGACCACTACCAGGGATGGGTAGTAAGCTCACCAGCTGCCTGAAACTGCCCTGAGCAGCAATGATGGTGAGGCTGCTCCGGCAGATGCCGTTATTCCCTCTGCCCATTGCTCTGAGCTCTGCCTTCGGAATTAGTTGGAATGAGTCTAAGCCCTCTTTTCTGAGTCTCTTTCCTCATAGACAACAGTGATCATGGCCAAGCAGCCATCTTGCTTATTAATGAAGAGCTCCCCATGTGCCCAGCACTGCCCAGGACATAGACAACCAACCCAGACCACGCAGGCCCTGCCCTCAGGGAGCTCTCCTTCTAACGGAGAGATGACCCCACTAAGTCAGAAGCGATGGGCAGAGTAGACGGAAGGCAATCTTGGAAGACACTAGCCCCTGTGGGAGACGGAGGCACCAGGAAAGGCTGCCTGCAGAAGCTAGGTTTCAGCTGAATCTTCAAGGGTGCCTGAGATTCTAGGAGCTGGAAGTGAGGAGGGGAGACATTCCAAACATGGGGAACAGGCCAGGAAAAGGTGGAGAGTGGGGAGCAGACTGGCCAGATCTCTAAGTCTGTGAAAGGGAGATTGGAAAGGCAGGGAGGAACCTTGTTGATTCTGGAGGTCCTTGGGAGCCCCTGTGGCTGGGGGAGCAGAGAGGAGAAGACCTAGGTGAGAGATGGTATAGGGAAGGCAAAGACAGGATTGAGGAAGGGATTGGCTCTATGGCATGAGAGAGAGAAGGGCCAAAGGGGACCCTGGTGATGGATAACGGGTGGTGCTTTCCCCAGGGAGAGAGAAGTCTGGAGAAGGGGAGTCATTGAATTCGCTTCTGGACACATTGAGTTGGAGTTGTCTGGGAGATGTCCAGAGGGCAGCTGGTAATGTAAGACCAAGCTCAGGAGAGAGACTAGTCCTGGATAAACAGATCTGAGAATCATCTGACTAGAGACAATAATTGGGGCTGAGAGCTGACGAGAACCCCAAAAGAAATTGTATAAAACAGAGAGAAGAGAAGAGGGCCCCAGAGTCGTGGGGGCCAGCCCCCGGTCAGCAGGCAGGTCAATACGGAGACCCAACAGAGGAGACTGGGAAGGAGCGGTCGGACAGGTGGTAGAGAGAGCGGAGACGAGGATCCTCAGTGTCCAAGCGGGGCCAAGGAAAGAAGTCGAGCTGTGTCCTTTATGGAGGGCACATCTCCTGTTCATGTGGCATCAGGGGCCAGCTTGCCGAGGGCTGAGAAGGGTGAGAGAAGAGCAGGGGAAAATGCTGCTTTTCGACAGCTTTTCAAGGGGTTTAGTGAAAGGCATGAGAGACCTAGGATGGAGGCTGCTGGGCACGATAGGGCTAACGATGGAGGAGGCCTGTGCGGAGTCCTCGGCGGCTAGGAAGGAGCTGCTAGATAAGCAGATGCTGGAGATGAGATGTGGGGGAATGATTCAAGAGGAAATTTGCCAGAGAAGATGGGAGGGTATGGGACCAAGGGAACGTGTAGAGGGGTTGGCCTCCTTGTCAGAGACTGGGGGAAAGGAGGAGAGAGAGGGAGATGATGATGAAGGGAAGGCTTGCAGAGGATGGTCTTCCACTATTCTGGAGTCCTCAGCAGAGTGTCAGGGAAGGGATGCCATGGCGGCTTTGGGGAGAGAAGCAAAAGTTTGGACCAGCCGCTGTGGTCCGTTAGCAGAGAGCAGGCCGAAGGCCTTGATGTGGCGAAGGGCCAGCCACCGCTTCCTGTGGGGCAGTGGTCTCCCTAAGGCTTCTCTGCTGCAGCTGAAATGCTCCTACTTCTTTCCAGTGATTCCTGTGTGGCCTGGCCTGCAGTCCCCTCCCCCTTCTGGTCACCTTCCTTTGGGCAGGCTCTGGCTTGTTAATACCTTTCTGCAGAGCTGAGATCCAGATGTGGCCTGACCCGGGCCTGGGCCTCTCTCACACTGGATGCTGTCCTTCGGTCATACAGCCTGAGGTCCATCGATCCCGTGCTGCTAACTTGTGCAGGCCCAATTCCCAATGCCCGATCCATGCCTCCCAGTGCAGAAGAGCAAGCAACCCTTTTCCCTTCCCCCTCTCTCATCCATTGACACAGGCAGCACCATTGCCCAGTGGTGGATAAGGCCCTGGGCTTGGAGTCAGTAAGACCTGGGTTCAGTTCCCACCTCAGCCACTTATTACAGGACCCTTACAGCATCCCCTGTTCTTTCTTTCTTTTTTTTAGTGAGGCAATTGGGGTTAAGTGACTTGCCCACGGTCACACAGCTAGTAAGTGTCAAGTGTTTGGTCTGAGGCCAAATTTGAACTCAGGTCCTCCTGACTTCAGGGCTGGTGCTCTATCCACTGCGCCACCTAGCTGCCCCCAGCATCCCCTGTTCTAAGCTGGCTCCCAGCCCTGACCATAGCTCTATGAGTTTGGTAGGGCAAGTATCATTAGCCCCTTTTCACAGATGAGAAAACCAAGATAAAATGACTCTCAGAAAACTTGTGCCTGAGTTGGAATTTGAATCTAGCTTTCCTGACTCTTAGTCCAATGTTTTAGCTCCTCCTCCTCAGCTTCTCAAATTCTTGCCTTACTCTCTTTACAGGGTTGTGAGAAAATTTCTTTGTAAAACTGAAAGGGCCAGCAAAATAGGAGATGGGATTGTGGTCCATGGGCTGCAGACACACGGAGGTGCAAATTGTTTTCTTTTAATGAGATTTGAATCATTCAAGATTTTATTTTTCTTTCTTTTTGACCACGGCAACACCTTGCACCAGTTAAAGCACAATGCCTTATTATTTTCTCTTATTTATTTATTTTATTATCTGTTCACAACAATAAAAGCCTCTGAGCCAGACTGCCCTCTCTTCATGCTCTTTTGCCCAGTGGTGTCTCAGTGAGGAGGAAAAAGCAGGTGAGGTGAGGGAGGAATGTGTGGGATAAAAGGGCTCAAGCACCAGCCTAGAGCTCAGGGGAGCTGGTTTCTGGTCCCAGTCAGGGCACTGACTTGTTGTGTATTCTTGGGTGAGACATACCCCCTCTCTGAGCCTATAGATGATTGGAATATTTTTGCTTTTCTTTGTATCTTCATAATTTAGCACAGTGCCTGGTATGCGGTAAGTGCTTACTGAATGCTAATTGATTGATTGAGATAGTAAACTACCAGCATCTTGGACTGCGTTCAATCCTGAGTTACTGACTTTATCAGTTCTTTAGTAAGGATGGGTCTGTTTGCCCATAGATGACTTGGGATGGTCAGATTGGTGAAGGGACGTTGAATGGGGGGGCATCCATTTCCAAAAATTGCACCCCTATCCAGTGGCTATGAAAGTAACTTGTTTTGACTTTGCAATTTTTTAAAAAGAAGTTTCTGAGTATGAGTGGGTCCAGTACCAATAGGACTAAACACAGAGAAGATTATATCTTAGTTCTAAAATCATGAAATCATAGCCTCTTAGGGTCTCAGAATCATGAAATCTTAGAACCTTGGGGTCTTGGAAGCCTAGAATGTTGGCGTTAGAAGACCTCCCCCCAAGACAATGAACATGTCTTAAATTGCTCCTGAAGTTTATTCTTGGCAATGACAAAGAAAGGAGGCAGTTTCATTTTCTGCATGGTGTGCATGCATGCCTTTATTTCTCTGACAAGAAGTTCCAAGCTGCACTTGTTTTTCTGAGTTCTGACTTAACCCCCTTTTTTCGTGTTGCAGAATTTTCTAGAAACTGACAGCGAGGGCAACGGCATTCTCCGACGACGGGATATACGGAATTCTCTGTATGGGTTTGACATTCCCATCACACCAAGGGAATTTGAAAAGCTCTGGGCGAGGTAAGGAGATTCCCAGGCTAGTCCTTTTCCATTCTAATTGTTTCAGGCAACTTGTTACCATGGTGAATGAGTGAGTATTATTATCTTTTCCTCCATGGCATCAGGGGACCTAGGGAGCTAGAGATAGTTATAGCTCCGGATAGATCTAGAACAGATATGCGATGGAATTCTTGCTGAGGAAAGCTTATGTAGATGGTGTACCCCTTCTTGGCATACACACAGGTGCATGTCTGTGTCTGATAGTATTTGTATCCTGTCCTTACAGAGAAACCTCCCTTAGTCCACAGATTTGTTTTACACAGACATTGTCCCAGTATAAAGGACTCAATCAATGTTAGTTGTCTGAAGAAAAATGATATAGAAGCAAGAATACTGATCCAGGAAGTCAGCAAATCTGTGCTCAACCTCCCAGCCTGGGTCCTGCCGACTTGTGTGGGAGGAGGCAAGAGTATTAGTTACTTTGCCTCAGTTACTTTGTAAAACAACGAGGTTGGACTGTATGATCTCTGAGACCTTCTTATTGTCTGACAGGTTACGTTTCCCTCCCAGCTCTGACATCCCCTGTTCTAAGACCCCTCCCATCCCTGACATTTCTGTTCTGAGGCCCCTCCCAGTTCTGACCTTTCCGGTTCTAAGGGACCTCCCAACTCTGACATCCCTTGTTCTAAGGCCTCTTCAGCTCTGACATCCCCTGTTCTAAGCTCCCTGTGAGCTCTAACATTCCATTTATGTGCCCAAACTGGGGCCAGCATTTATGGACTCCATTAATAGTTGTCAAGTCCACATCTCTTTCACATTCAAATTGGTTTCAGAAGTGTTCTGATAGAACGTCTGGTCCTTTAGAACGGAATGTCTGAGCTGTGAAGCCCCTTAGCACAAGGAATGTTGGAGCTGAACAGCCTCTGCTCTCTGGTGGGTGTCTGGTGGGCAGGCTGCTGCCAAACAGACGTTGAGCACGATGCAGAAATTACAGAGGTAGAGCCTTCAGTTTTCTTATTATCCTCAAGCACAGGCTCAATCCTCAGAGAAAACCTGACCCTCCTTGGGACCCTCCCAAGCCCCCTCAGGGACAGAGAAGGGATTCTTTTCCATTCTGTAGTCCTGTCTTTTCCTTAGGCCGTAACCACTGGAGAGAAGCTAAATCCACAGTCCCACCCTCCTTCCATGCCATAAAAGGAGAACAAACTTAGGGAGTCATAATCTCGTACACCCCCCAGGAATCAAACTTCATCCACCTCTACAGGGAAACTAAGTCACGTTACAGATGAACGGACACTCAGCGGCTTCACAAGGAGGCGATGGAGGGGGAGGATTTCCTGAGGATGTCACCAGAGTCAGGGACAGTGGAGATTCTTCTTGTCTAGGGAATATTTAATGCTTTCGTAACAACTAACTAAATCTTCATGCCTGGTGTGACCAGATGGGATTAGTATTAACCAAAATGTGGAGGAGAATGCTCCTGAGTCCCAAATAAAAAAGACAAAATTCCCACAACAGGATAGAAAATGTCAGAGCTGAGAGGGGTCTTTCAGCTGGGACCATGGGGGTGGGGGCTGGGAAGGCCTTCCCCCAGTAGAACATGGTGTCTTGGGTGTGGTGTTGGGAGATGGGCGCCCGTCTTGGCCCAGACACTGACTTCCTGTCTGAGTGAACCTTGGGTTAAGCCCCTTCATCCCTTTGCCTCCTGGGGGCTGTTGGGAGGAAAGCTGTTTGTAACTCTGAATGAGTGTTAGAATAGCCAGGAGAACCCTTGGTGATCATCTGGTCTGGCCTCACCATTCTTCTGAGGGAGAAACTGAGTCTGAGTCAATCGACTTTGACTATTCATGCATTTCCCATGGAAGCCTTCTGCCTTCTCGTCTGGCACTGTCCCCTTCCCTGCTCCTCTGTAAGATTACCTCAGTGACTTGCTTCTCCAATAGACTGTAAGCTCCCTGAGGGCAGGCACAACATGTTTTTGTGTTTCTTTTTATGATCAGAGCCTAGCCTGGTACATAGTAGGTGCTTAAAAAATGCTTGTTGACTGACTGAGAGCTTCTTAGACCTGCCCTCGGGTCATAGGGCTCTAGTTTTTTTTTTTTAAAGGCTAGAAGAGAGTTTAGATGTTGTCAGGTCTAAGCTGGTCTTATAGATAAAGAGACTGACTCTCCTGGGAGAAGGAGTGACTTCCATGTCAGCCTGGGCTGTCCATGTCCTTACTCACTTTTCCTCCCAGTTCTCCAAGTCGCGGCTAAAATGTTGGCTGCATTTCGGAACAAGTGGGCTGCTGTGCTTCTAATTTAGCAAGGCAGTGTGACATTCTTTCACACCCCTTTTTCTATTTCTCCTCTTTGGTTCCAACGCTGGGCCAAATTAGACTGCTTGTTCGTTTGCCTTCTCTTTAATTACAATCAACAGTTCAACTGGCTGATGGGAAGAGAGGAAGTTTAGGACTGTCTGAAAGTTTCTGAATAGGGAATGACGGCAGACCGTGGCCTCTGCAGCAGGGAGCAGACCTGAAGGCACTTTCTTTCTTGGCACCTTGGATCTCAAAGGTGCCCATGGGCACATCTGTGCTCAGTGCCACCTCCGCTGTGAAGCCTTCCGGGATGCCTCCCTGACTCCCCCTCCCCACACAGGGGATGGTCTCCCCTCTGTGTGCTTCGGCCCTCGACTTGCGGCTGTCAGCACGGCATCAGGGAACCAGCCCTGGGTGCTGAAGCCTGGCTCTTTGCTTACTGCCCATGTGACTGGGAGCCACGGTTTCCTCTTATGTAAAGGATGGAGCTGGACCAGAGGACCTCGGAGGGGCTCCCATATAGTGTCTTCACACACATTCTTTATTTCTTTGCCACTCTGGCTTCCATTGACCTTTAGTTCCCCATCAGGTCTAGCACAGTACTGTGCCCCTGGAGGGGAGGGACCTTTGATAAAAGTCTGCTGAACTAATGAAATGTGCATGGCCTTCACCCTAGCCTGAAAGCTCCCCGAGCCTCTGCTTTTGTTCTATGGCTCTGAGTCTGGACTGTGCCATTCACTTAGCTGTGTGCCCTAGGTTAATCCTCAGTTCCCCCATCTGTAAAAAAGGGATAATAAGAACGTCTCCCTATCAAGGTTGTTGTGAGGTTCAAATGAGACAATATTTGTAAAGCTTTTTGCAACCTTGAGATGCTGCATGAATGCTAGTTATTATTATTATTATTCCAAGGAGCCATGACTTTGTCAGCATGGGTCTGCCATGTTTTAGCAGACTGCCTTTGTGGAGGAGCTATGTCAGATCCATCATCCGGTAACCAGCCTTCTCAGGCTGAGCCTTTCCCGTGGGCGAGGCTGGTCCTTGATCCACCAAAGGGGCTGGTGCTTGAAGCCTTCCCAGCTTGGCATGGTCTGCCAGAGCTTGGGTTCCACCGGCAGAGCCATTTCGGCCCTTTTGGGATTGCCCTGCCAGGAGGCACAAGGCCAAGCTTCCATAGTGACCCAGGAGGCCTCTAGGACCACATGCTATCAGGGAACAGAGCCCAGCTGTCTGGTTCCCCCTTGTTGTCTAGATGACTAAGCATCGGGCAATATGCTGGATGTGTCATGGCCTCCATCACCAAACCTCAGAGCTCGAAGGGACCCCAAAGGATACCTGGTCTATGCCCCGTGTAACCCAGGATCCCCTCTCTGGCATCCCTGAGCTGGGAAGCCTCCATCCAGCCTTTGTGGGAAGCCTCCCAGGTCACTACGGGACAGTTCTGGTCATCAGGAAGTTTTTTCCTGACATCAAACTGAAATCTAAGTCTGCCTTTTGCACCTTTTCTTCTTTGTCTTCTCAAAGGGTCATAGATTTAGAGTCAATAAGGGAATTTGGAAGCCATTGGGTCCCCCTTCCCCTCCATTTTACAGATGAGAAAACTAAGGCCTAGTGGAAGAGGAGGTGAGGTCTCAGGGTGGAGAAGGAGGTGGTAGAGCTGCTCCAGTGTCTCTGCCAAGGAAACCCCATGAGGGGCCATGCCTGAAAGGCCCAAACAGCATCAGAGTCCCTCAGAGGAGGGGAGAGTGCTGGGCTTCACACTCTGGCCTCGGACTCCACCGCCAGAGCACTTTCCTTGGGACCACAAAGGAGCGGGAGGATTTCCCAGACTCCCTTCCGTTTCTGCATTCTAGCATGGATCCCGAACAGTCCATTCAACAGAAGAGGAAGCTGTCAGAGAGAAGCTCTGGGCTGCGCAGGTGTGTGGCAGGTGGCAGAGATGCCAGGGCTTTTCATGCTATGCGTGCTTGGGGCCATTATTAACATGATCGTGCCCCTCCCCTGGACCAGATGGTGTGGCCGCCGGCTCTGAGGGTCGTGTGTCTTGGTCCCGGGGCCATGATGGCGGGCACTTTGCCTGATGCATCTGTCCCACTTAGGGGTGGCTTGATTGTTTTCCCCACATTCCAACCAATATTTGTGATGGAGGCTGAGATTGCGGACAGTGAATCAAGGCCCCCTTGTTCCCAACCTGGGCTGCTCTTCTCTGATGATAAGAATGGACTTATAAAAGTCACGAAAAAACAAAACAAAACAGATTCTCATTGAATCCAAGCATCTGGAGCAGTAGGCTTGGGGTTGGCCACACCTCAGGGGTTTTCTTCAGAAGTGGCTCTAGTCTAATGAGCATTTTTATTCTAACCATTGCCCATAAAAAAGAAATAAGAGCTTGGGCTCTGTGCAGGCTAATGCTCACCAGGCTGGGGAACCGAGCAGGGATTCTGTCCAATCCAGTCCAATCCCCTCAACAGTTCAGAAGTACCTACTATGAGCCAGATGCTGGGCCTACAAAGACAAAACCAAAACCGAGTCAGTGCTTGCCCTCAAGGGGCTTACATTCTGCTGGGAGGAATCGATGTGTGCACAAACATAAGCCACATTGAAGTAATAGCAGAGAAGGGGGACGCCGAGCATCTGGGGCTCCAAGGCAGGATTTGAATCTGGGCCTTCTGACCCCAGATCCTCCTTAATGTTAGGTCTTCTGTGTGCAGAGCCCTGGCCCGGGGCCAGGCCATGGGGGAGACATAGAGCTTGTCCCTGCCCTTCTGGTGGTCCTGTAATTACAGTCCTCAACGAGAAAGCTCCCTCCCCGCAGTGCTGAAGCGGAGCTGCCCCAACTCCTTCAGTCTCCCCACAAGACACCTCGTGCTAGCCTTGTGTGCCAAGGTCTGCCCCCTCCTCACCCCCTGGCCTCCCACCTGAGAAAATCCATCATGACCAGATCCCTGCCCGTGGCCTAGCTGCTCCCAAGGAAAGAGTTCTTTTGGGTGGGCAGAGAGCTTGAAGCCGCCCGGCAGGGGAAAGGTCAACTCCCCTTCCTCCCACCAACCCACCCACATGCTGGCCTTCTCCTCCCCTCTCCTTCCCAACTGTCCCCTTTCTCCTCGTCTTCTCTCCTCAAGCTCACACACACACTTCCTGGTCAAAGAGGGCCTCAGACCCAACAAAAGACGCTCATTGGTGATCGAGAGCAGGCCAGGAGGTGGAGGGGGGCCCAGAGGGGCCAGTCCTAAGGTTGGGCAGGATTTCAACAGGAGGAGGAGCACTTTGGACTCTGGGAACAGCCCAAGGTAATGCAGGGTGGCCAGAAGCAGAAGCTGTGATGGGATCATCTGGTTCTGCCTCCCAGGAGGACAGCAGGCGGAAAGGAGAAACTGAGGCAGCAGAGGGACAAGAGTCAGGGGGCAGTTCTTTCTGAGCCTCAGTCTCCTCTCCAAGTTTTCCTGCAATTCTATGATCTTATAAAGTGCCCACAGAGGCCTAACTTGGATTCCTAAGATGTCATCGGAAATCCAAGTGCCACCAGATTGTGGATGGCCTTGAATGGCAGACCCGGAGTGTTTGCATTTTATTGGGTAGGTAATAGGGAGCCGTGGAGGGCTACTGAGCGGCTGGGAAGCCATGTTGTTGAAGGGAGATCAGCAGGAGAGCAGCCCTGGCCTCCTTTTAGATCCTCCCGCTCGTTTGGCTGAGGCTTTGTGCACAGACAGAGGACTGGGCTGCCCTTTCCTTAAGTGTATGACTTCCATCATCAGCAGGAACAAACAGTTAACCGCACACTCCTGTTTTCTGGAGTCCCCTGCCTTTAGCAGTGCTGCTCAGGAGCCCCTCATACATTTCCCTTTTATCTGACAAGTTCTGAAAGTTGACTGAGTTCTGGGATGGCTAGAGGCGAGCGCCGCTGAGCGAGCGCCCTTGGGTGGGGGGGGCGGGCTGCTTGCCCTACCAGACACCAGGAGCCTTCTTAGGGTGTTTAGATTAGGCCTTTGCGGTCTGCTGCATTGAACTCTGTGCCTCTGAGCGAGTGAGGGCAAAGCTGAGATTTGCATTCAGGCCTCCTGGGGCAGGGCCGCCCAGGGTCCGCCTGGGGCTCCATCCATCATACTTCAGAAGTTGCTTGGGAGCCAGCCCCTGGTGCTTCCCACAAAGCAAGACTCTTCCTCCTCCTCCTCCTCCGAATCATCATGAATTATTCTGAATGTATCTTGTTGGTATTTCTATGTGTCCGTTTGGGTTTTCCACGACAGCGTGCCACTCCCTGAGGGCAGGGACTGTTTCATTGCGGTCTTTGGATCCCCACCTGGCACAGTGCCTGGCACGTAGTAGGTGCTTCACGGTGCTGGCCTGACTGCTAGCAGCTGCTTGTTCATAAGATCAGGAGTACAGCTGCACCTGACAGGTCACCTAATCCAAGCCCCTCATTTAGCAGTTGAGGAAATGGAGGCTCACGGAGTTACATGACTCTCCTAAGGCCGTACGGGTTCTGAGTGGCTGAACTGCAGGCCAGCCTGGGTCCTGTGACTCTTGTCCCGGTATTCTTCTCACTCTGCATCTCATCACATCAGGGCATTCGTACCAGGGGCAGAGGCTGCAGTTGACAGGAGGCCAGCAGACACACCCATTGCTTGGCCAGAAGGTCAGTCAGACGATGCTGCCTTTAGCGCACTAGCCTGGGGTGTTTGTGAAGTGATGTAGGGGGCAGGGTTGTGGCTTATGTCCAAGGCCTTTCTGCAAAAACAGACTTTTCCCTTTGTTTTTTTAAGGCAGTTTGGCAATTGGTCTTAACAATTTTATAGAACCATTCTATTCTGTTGGAATAATACCGAGAAATCAGACGCTCTAGAAACTGTGATTTTGAATGGAGTAGAATGCAGAAAAATTCAGTGGTGGAAAATGAGATAGGAGCCTGGCCGGCGTCCAAAGTTTGTGAAACTAGAGAGGAGTCTTACTTTCTTGAAGCAAATCCCATTCATGGCATAATTTAGAGGTGCAGGGATCTGAGCTCTCTCATTTTACTGACCAGAAAACTGAGGCCCAGAGAAGAGATGGGGCCTCCTCATAGACAGAGAGAAGGGACCCCAGAGGGCATCCCTCTTAATCTCCTTCTTCTTCATTTTTGTTGTTGGTTAGCTGTTTCAGTCCTGTCCAACTCTTCTTAAGCCCATTTGGGGCTTTTTTGGCAGAGACACTGGAGTGGTTTGCCATTTCCTTCCCCAGCTCACTTTACAGATGAGGAATCAGGCAAAAAGGATGAAGTGACTTACCTAGGGTCACCCAGATAGTAAGTGTCAAGGCCATATTTGAACTCCGGAAGATGAGACTTCCTGACTCTAACAATAGCTCTACCCACTGTTGCACTTTGCCTTATTTTGCAGAGAGAGAAAATGAGGCCCAGGGACTCATGGACCTTCTCTGAGGTCACATAGGCAGTAAATGGCTTTCTTGTGTCTAAACTGGAATTTGAACCCAGGTCCACTTGTTCGTTTATGAGACTTTTGATGCTGTTCAGGGGAGGGTTTTTTGTTTTGCTTTGTTTTGTTTTGTTTTGGCCTGTACAAGTCCTCACTCTATGATCTTCTCCATAGAAAAGACTCAGAAATTATCTGTGAAGTGAACGAACCACTCTGGTTTTTAATTCTGTCTTATAAGCATGTTGGGTGATATAATGGAACCATAGAATCAAAGGATGAGGTTTTGGGGGGACTTCCCTCATGTAAATGTCAGAGCATCTTACAAGCTGCCAACCATGGCCTGGCCTTGTGGGCAGAGGGCTGGACTTGGTGGCTAGAAGACCTGGGTTCAGATCCTGCCTTTGAGCCTCACTCTGAGCTCTGGGACAACTAGCAAGTTGCTTAACTCTTTATGAACATCAGGCCATTCGGTAAAATGGATCTACTAAAAGTATTGACTAATCACCCCATCTGCTAATACCAACTGAGCCCTGGTCTCTGGTGGAGGAGTCAGAGAGTCTGGGTGTCCCCTGTAAGAAGTGACCAGAGCACAGGACAAGGGGTAGAAGGCCATGGCTGTAGTCTCTGCTCAGTCACCTAACACGCTTTCTTACTTTGTGGTCTTTGCCATAAAATGAGAGTCCAGGGATCCTTAACCTGGGGCCCTCAGGTTTCAAAGGGGTCTGTGAGTGTGGAGGGGAAAATTATGGTTTTTTCAAAATAATTGGTTTTGTGTGTAATCTTTTATATTTTTATTTAAGCATTTTAAAACATGATTCTGAGGAGTCCATGGACTTCACCAGGCTGACTACCAAAGGGGTTCATGACTTATAAAAAGATTAAGAACCTGTGGACTAGATGGTCTCCAAAGCTCCTCCCAGCTTCCCTGTTCTAAGACCCTTCCAGCCCTGCCATCCCCTGTTCTAAGGTCCCTCCAAGCCCTAACACTTCCCCCCCCCCCCCCCCCGTCCTATGGCTCCTCCCAGCCCTGACCTTCCCTGTTCTAAGGCCCTCCCAGCTCTGCCATCCCCTCTTCTAAGCCGCCCCCCGCCATTCCCTGTGCTGTCTCTCCCCCAAAGAGGCAAAGCTAGTGAAGCCTTTCTCTGCCTCCTTTAGATGGTGACTGGAAGTTTTCTTTTCACAGATATGACACTGCTCAAAAAGGGTACGTTACTTACCAAGAATTTTTGAACCGCTTGGGCATTGAGTATTCCCCTTCTATCCATCGGCCCTATGCGGTAGATCATTTCAACTTCATGGGCCACTTCACCAAGCCGGAGCCGATACTGGAGGAGAGCAGGGAGCTGCAGCAGTACTTGGAGTCGGCCAGGCCGTTCAAGTAAGCGCGGGAGCCAGATGTGGAGGGGGCGGGGATGGGAGCCGTCCCTGCTCCTGCTGTGCCCCCGGCACTCATTTACCCGGTGAGCACACCCCTCCCCCACGCCTTGACCATGCCATTGGCCCCTCCCTCCTGACGCTTGAGCGGTCGCCAGACCTCTGCTGCCTTCCCCCTCTGCCGCAGCATCTCACACTCGTGCCCTTGGCTCTGCTTCGGCGTCCCTGGTTCAGGTCCCCGTCTCCCCTATTGCAGTAGCCCTCTGACTGCTCTTCCTGCCTCCCAGTGCATCCTTCGTCACTGTGGTTGTTTGTCCTTCCTTTGGGACCGATGACATCACAGGGTGACGTCTTGACTCGTGTGCTAATTGTGGCAGGGCATGGCAGTCTTCTGCTCAGCAACACCTGAGTTTAAATCCTGGGTGGCACCGTCATCAATATTGGGAGAAAGCAAGGGAGGCTTCCGGTATGTTGAACGGACCCCCGTGGGGAACTTTTGGAAAGCCAGGAGGGGCAGACACCAATAGGTCGGGAACTCCTCAAATCAGTGAGGCCACAGGTTGCTTAGAGTATTTGAGGGCGAATCATTGGATTTGGCACAGTGTGATGGAAAGGGAGGAGCCAAAGATGCCATCCCTGGCTCTAGGCCCACGGCTGGCCCGTCTTCTCCAGGTCCTGTTCTTTGATGACGTCTTTTACTCTTATCCTTCTCTTCCTCACTGGTCACGTGTCATTGCCCCCATGCCCACCCAATGGCTTTCCATTGTCCTGGGGGATGCTTGTCTTTTGTTCTTTGGGGGCAGTGGTGGTCCACGTCTAGCTGCCACGCCCGTGAGCCCTCTGTCTTGAAAGGATGGGCCTTTGCTCTTATGGAGCTTAGAAACAGCGAGAGAGCCGTGCTGTTCCCTAAGCATGTGCTGCTCCGCTCTCCTTTTCACCTAATTTTCAGGTCCCCGAGCTCACTGTATATCTTGTGCAGCTTTCTTTGGACTGGTTTTACTCCTCGCAGTTTCTCTCTGCTTTATGAGACAGTGCTGGTCATAATGAATTGTTCGTTTTCCTTCTTCTTAAGCTTTTATAGTCTAACTTGGTGTTGCCTGTGGTAGCAATCTTTCTTCATTAGGCAAGTAAGTCCAATGTTTAGGGCAGCTGGGTGGTGCAGTGGATAGAGCACCAGTTCTGTGGTCAGGTGGACCTGAATTTGAATCCAGCCTCAGATACTTACTAGCTGTGTGACCCTGGGCAAGTCACTTTACCCTGTTTGCCTCAGTTTCCTCATTTGTAAAATGAGCTGGAGAAGGAAAAGGCAAAGCACTCCAGGGTCTCTGCCAAGAAAAGCCCAGATGGGGTCACAGAGAGTCGGACACAACTGAGATGTCTCAATGACAGAAATCAAATGTTTGCGGGCTCTTTTGTTCTCACTGTAGCGGTCATTTAAATTGGCTTAACATCTGCACGGCATTATTGTAGTCAGTGTCAATGTCATCTCTGTTGTCCATTTCTCATTTTTGATAGTACCCTCCTGCTCAAAAAACCTCAGTGGCTCCCACTGCCACTAGGGTCAAAGACAGTCTACCTTTCTAGGTGAACTACACACTTCTCCGCTCTGAATCTCCCATTCTAACCAAACAGGTCCACTTATACCAGGCACTGTTCTAGGCCCAGGGGGTTACAAAGATGGAAAGAAAATGCCCTGCCCTCAAGGAGCTCATATTCTACTGTGGGTTGGAGACCAAAGGTACATCGATAAAAAGCATATCAACGGACACAAAAGAAGTAAAAATTATTTGGGCAGGGAACATTAATTCTTGGGGGTGGGGGTAGGAGGAGATTAGGACAGGCCTGATTCAGAAGGTGGCCTGAGCTGAGAGGAGCTAGTCTTCCAAAAAGTAGCAGTGCTCAAAAGTAGGGGGAAAGCCTGGGGGGCCAGGCACAGGGACAGTCAATGCAAAGGCAAGGCTGTGGGAAATTTTCTCCCCACTAAAATGACTTCATATTTACTCCCCATCTATTTTGTATTTGTTTATCTGTGTCTACATTGCTTTTCACTTCCCTACCTTAAAGTGAAACGTAAACTGGACAGCTGGACAGGTGGCCCAGGGGACGCAGTGCTGGGTTGGTAATCAGAAAGACCTGAGTTCAAATTATGCTTCACATGCTTTCGAGCTGGGCAACCTGGGCAAGTCTCTTTACCTGTGCCTGCCTCAGTTTCCCCATTTGTAAAATGAGAGGATTGGATTTTACAGCCTCTAAGATTTCTGCCACTTCTAAAGGTATGATTCTAGGATTCTGGATAGCAGTGAGTCAATCAATCAATCAATTAACAAGCATTAGTTGCTATGTGCAAGACACTGGCTAGGGCAGGAACCATTTTTCTTAATAAATGCTGATTGAATAAAGGAAGGAAGGAATAGGAGACAGTGAATTGTGTGTCACTGGCATTGGTCAAGCAGATCATATTATCCCTGACTCAAAATTGGAGGGGACCTCTGAGTCCCCAGAGCCCAACCCTCCTCATTTTGCGGATGGGGAAAATGAGGCTCTGGCAGAAGTGATGACTTGTGCTATCTCGGGTTGTTCCACAGGGATGGGGCCCAGATGACACCTGAGGTCCCTTCCAGCCTGGGATTATCTGAGCTGTGGTGTTCAAAAAGCCCCCTGGATATTTGTCACAAATGGGAAATTCTTGGCATCGTGACTTTTTTCCTGACTTAAAACTTCTTGCTTCTTGCTCTGCTCACATATTTCCTTCTGCAAGACAAATAATTACTGCCTGGAAACCGTGGCTTCGTCCAGGAAACATTGAATGCCTCAATTTTCTAAAAATATGTATCTCAGAATTGTTTTGATTTTCTGCCGTCATTTGCTTTCATTTTGAAGGATTAAGTGGAGGATAATAGTAGTGGTGAAGAGAGAGCTTTGTGCAGCCTGAGATGGAGCGTACCTGGAGCACACACACCTGTGAGGGTTTCTGTTGGGGGGGACGCCCCCAGAACAAACAGCGCCCTGGGAGATCTTGGTGCTTGAGTCAATGCAGTGTCTTATTTAGATCAGTCTGTGTGTGTGTGTAGGGGGTGTTCATCTATTTGTTTTTCTCAATTTTAATTTTTAATTCTGAACTTACGCACAAAAGGGCATTTCCATACTCATGGTAGAGCACAAAAAGATTTTCTAAGAAACTATGAATCTCCATTTCATCCCCTGGCTTTCAAAAAAAAAACCAAACCCATCCAAGTATATAATTCTACACATCACTTTGAAAAAGACTGCCTGTTTCTGCATCTCTGAACATCCTTCTGTTCATGTCCCTCCCTCTTTTTTGGCACTGCTGTTGCTAACTTCTCCTCTTCCTTCCCCACCCCTGATTACAAATGAGACAAAGAAAAAAAAGTCAAGCAAAATTCATTCCCAAAGTGGCCAAGTCCAAAGCTCAGTGTCTTTTTGTACCCAGCTTGTTGGGTTGGGGGGAGAGGCTGCCTGCTCTGCAGACCTTCCTCCATATTCGCAACTGGTCATGGAGCAACTAGAGTCTTCATTCTCTCTAGTGGATTTTCTTGACAATGCTGCTCTTCCTGTATCAACGATTCTCTTGGGTTTGCCCACCTTCCTCAGCAACATCAACTTATGCTGCCCAGGATTCTCTGAAATCGTCTCTTTATAATGAAAAAAAAATATCCCATGCCCTTTTCCAGGTTCATATTGAAGTCATAGTGACAGTGTTTTAGCTGCGGGTGCTGTGCCTTATCTCTCCAAGTAGACGGGAAGCAGCTGGAAGATACAGCTGGATCTTCTCCATCTGTGCCTTCCTTCCCCCAATGCCCAGTGTCTCCTGTTGTCTTAAGTGTACTTGGTGCTCAAAAAGTGTGATTTAATTATTTGTTTTATTACCCTGTCCTTCTTGTCACTACTCCCCTACTGTATGATTTTTTTTTTAAATGAGAAAAACAAAGCTCTCAATACACTATAGTCTAGTCCAGCAGAACAAATCCCCATATTGGCCATGACCCAAAACGCGTGTCTCCTTGGGCACTTTGAGTCCATCGCCTCGCTGCTATGAGGCCAACGTTGTGTTTCATTCCTAGCCTTTTGGTTTCCTGCCTCATCATTTTGTGGATCAGAATTTGTTTCGAGGTGTTTTTCTCTATTAATGTTGTTATTAAGGAATTTGTTCTCCTTGCTTTGTTCTTTGCTCTGCATCAGTTCGTAAAAGTCTTCCCAGTTTGCTCTGAAACTGCCCATCATGTCTTATGATGCAGCCACCTTCCCTTATGTTTATATATCACAACTTGTCTAGCTGTTTGCCAAGAGGAGGATTAGTCAATGGGTCCTTCTCTTTCACCCCCTTCCCATAGTTTCCAATTTGGGGTCACCATAAATAGAACTACTGTAAGTATTTTTGTACATGGGGGGGTCCTTCTCCCCTTGATTTGATTTCTTTGGGGTATAGGCCTCAGTAGTATTGCCGGGTTAAGGGGCATGCACATTTTTCTAGCTTTTTGGGCATAGTTATAAATTGTTCTTCAGAATGGCTGAACAATTTCATGATTCTACCAGTTTTGTGTGATTGTGTCTGTTTTCCTACAGTCCCTCTGACATTTGTCATTTTCTCCTTTTGTTATTTTTGTTAATCTAATGTGAGTGAGATAGAACCTCAGAGTTGCCTTAATTATTAATGATTTTGAACTTTTTCTATATGATTGCTAATAGTTTGCATTTCTTCCTTTGAAAATGACCTATTCATATCCTCACCCCTATGCTAAGCATTTTACAATTATTAACTTATTTGATCTTTACAATAATTCTAGGAGGTAGGTTCTGTTATTATCCTAAGTTTACAGATGAGGAACTGAGGCAAACAGGGTTAAGTGACTTGCCCAGGGTCACACAGCTAGTAAGTTTCTGAGGCCCGATTTGAACTCAGGTCTTCCTGAGTCCAGACCTGGCACTCTATGCACTGTGCCACCTAATTAAAGTTGTCCATTTTATTTTGTGATCCCTTCTATC